TGGCTGATTGACCTACTTCCAGAGAGGTGCGAGGGAAGAAAATAAAATGGGAAATTTCTCACCCAGTCTGCCACTCTCACAACTTGACTCAAACTCTAACACAAAACTTTGAACAAGATCCCTACCAGAAGTATTTATACCCGAGTGTTTGGATTCCCAAAAGATCTTATGTTAAATCTTCCTCGTAGTGTTATAATAACATAATTTAACCGGTTGATTTAAGTTAAAGGATAATAATTTTATTCCTACCAGAAGACTTGTTTCTGAAAGGCTCGTAAGATAACTGTTTCGTCGTAAATGTTGATCAAATTATGCATCTGGCCAATTGATTTAAGTTAAAGTCTAATGATAACGTCAAGACTGATAACAAAATTACACCGAGATCTTCCTTAATTAGATATCAGTTTGATGTTATTAAAACCCGCAACTGTTAACCTCGCGGTACATGAACCACGTACGGCGAGGCAGACAACTGAGGGATTTAGTGGTAAATTTGATGCTCTTTTGATGAGTTAGTCCAGAGTTGTTGTTTTTGTTTTTCTTACCACAAGTACGAGAAGTTAAGGAGAAGAGCACATGGGGTGCTATTTCTCACAAAGACTTGTCGGATACGTTCTCTCCATAAATATATAATTACCTACTGTTTACTCCTTGAGGTCCTCCAGCGTCCCCCCCCCCCCCAACGACTCCACGCCACTCCTGACGCTTGGTAGCTTCCCTGGGAGCCTAGCAACATCACTCCTCCTCTTCCTCCTTACATACGCATCTAAGGGGTGTTCATTTCACTTCCTGGTGCCAGACAAAGTCAAGATGTCGTACGATATTTCACTAGATTCAACACACAAGTCCACATTGGCTCAGTACCCAGTGTATATACACAGACAGTAGCTGTATAACAAAGGGAAACGATGTGTCCACTATGAAACTGTTACACATTGTTATAATTTCTTAGGTGAAATACATCTAGGAAATAAATCACTTGAAAAAGAAAAATCAATGAAATTTGTGAATTATAGAAGTAAGTCTAGTAAGGTCACATCTAAATTATTTTCATGAAACATTTCACATAATTTTCTCTCAGTATTACAGGCAACATTACGAGGTATAAAGGGAAAGTGTGTTTACATGGTAGTCACTTGTTATACACACGCTGGAAAACACACACATTTGTAACAAAGGATAAAAACCTCTGCCGGAGTTATTGTTAGTATGAAAGGCTCCCCATGACGTAGATAGCGTAAAAATAATGTTTTATTCAACAGGGGAGGAAGTTATTGATGTTGCCAAACGCGACCAGGAATAAAGAAACAAATTATTAAGAAAACTTAGTCCAATTATTCTGACCACCAGCCCTCACTCACACCCTCCACCAGCCATCCCTCACATCCTCCACCAGCCATCCCTCACACCCTCCACCAGCCATCCCTCACACCCTCCACCAGCCATCCCTCACATCCTCCACCAGCCATCCCTCACATCCTCCACCAGCCATCCCTCACACCCTCCACCAGCCATCCCTCACACCCTCCACCAGCCATCCTCACACCCCTCACCTCACACCTCCACCATGCATCCCTCACACCCTCCACTAGCCATCCCTCACACCCTCCACCAGCCATCCCTCACCCCACCAGCCATCCCTCACATCCTCCACCAGCCATCCCTCCTCCACCAGCCATCCCTCACCCTCCTCCAGCCACTAGCCATCCTCCACCTCCACCAGCCATCCATCACACCCTCCACCAGCCATCCTCACACCCTCCAGCCATCCCTCACACCCTCCACCAGCCATCCCTCACACCCTCCACCAGCCATCCTCACACCCCTCCACCAGCCATCCCTCACATCCTCCACCAGCCATCCCTCACACCTCCACCAGCCATCCTCCACCTCCACCGCCATCCCTCACATCCTCCACTAGCCATCCTCACACCTCCACCAGCCATCCATCACACCCTCCACCAGCCATCCCTCCCATCCCTCCACCATCCTCACACCTCCACCAGCCATCCCTCCACCCCTCCACCAGCCATCCCTCACACCCTCCACCAGCCATCCCCTCACACCCTCCCACCAGCCATCACCCTCACATCCCTCACATCCTCCCAGCCATCCTCACATCCCTCCACCAGCCATCCCACCCTCACATCCCTCCACCAGCCATCCTCCTCCCACACCCTCCACCAGCCATCCCTCCACCACACCCTCCACCGGCCATCCTCACACCTCCACCAGCCATCCCTCCACAGCCATCCTCCACCTAGCCATCCCTCACCACCCTCACACCACCACCCTCACATCCCTGCCATCTTCCTTAGCCATCCCTCACACCCTCCACCAGCCATCCATCACACCCTCCACCAGCCATCCTCACACCTCCACCAGCCATCCCCATCCTCCACTAGCCATCCCTCTCATCCCCTCACACCTCCACCAGCCATCCCTCACACCCTCCACCAGCCATCCTCACATCCTCCACTAGCCATCCTCCACCTCCACCAGCCATCCTCACACCCCTCCACCGGCATCCCTCACATCCTCCACTAGCCATCCCCACACCCTCCACCAGCCATCCATCACACCCTCCACCAGCCATCCCTCACACCTCCACATCCATCACACCCTCCACCAGCCATCCCTCACACCCTCCACAACCATCCCTCCACCTCCACCAGCCATCCTCACACCTCACCACATCCCTCACATCCTCCACTAGCCATCCCTCATCCCTCCACCAGCCATCCCTCCACCCCTCCACCGGCCATCCCTCCATCCTCCACTAGCCATCCTCACACCTCCACCAGCCATCCATCACACCCTCCACCAGCCATCACCTCCACCGGCCATCCCTCACACCTCCACCAGCCATCACCCTCCAGCCATCCTCCACCTCCACCATCACACCCTCCACCAGCCATCCCTCACACCCTCCACCAGCCATCCATCCTCCTCAGCCACCACCGCCATCTCACCCCTCCACCAGGCCACACCTCCACCAGCCATCCATCCCTCCACCAGCCCCCCACACCCTCCCTGTCACATCCCCTCACACCTCCACCAGCCATCCCTCACACCTCCACCGCTCCACCAGCCATCCTCGCACCCTCCACCGCCATCCTCACACCTCCACCAGCCATCCATCCACCCTCCACCGGCCATCCCTCCACCTCCAGCCATCCTCACACCCTCCACCAGCCATCCTCACACCCTCCACCAGCCATCCCTCACACCCTCCACCGGCCATCCCTCACACCCTCCACCAGCCATCCCTCACACCCTCCCCAGATTTTGATTGAATCAATATATACATCTACAACATATTTTCCCACTAACAAACACAACTAATATTTACCGTTTATCTGCAATCCTCATCTTCCTGATCCGTGTTCAGTGTTTTATTTCTTATTATTCTCTTTTGTTTTTCATTGTTGATCATCTTAACATCATGACAATGTTTCCTCCATATAGGTCCACCTGTTCAGGATCTTTTGACCATGACCTGGAAAAATGAAAGCTGGAACTGCTTAATCCCATCAGAATATTTGAATGTGGATATTATTGTATTGATGTTTTAAAGTAGTTCTGCATTTTAACAACTATCTAAGGTGTTTAACCATGTAGTCTAGTTATTATTTTCAAGGAATGATTCATATTTTGGTTTATTAATTAAGAGAAGTTAATATACCTTATAGATGTACCATATGCTAATTACAGGTTAAAATTACGTGTTAGACTATGTCTGTGAGGTAATCGTACATACTACAAAATTAATGTATCGTACAATACTATAATCTTGTCCACTGATTTAGTATACATTCTACCCCCTTACACACACACACAATATACACCTTCTCCATTTTCTAAACATACACATACACACACACACACACAGTACACCTTCTACAACATACAAGTACACAGTACTGTACACTCTCCCCCTCAACACACACAAAGTCCACAACATCCCCTCCTACACGCACATGCACATTGCACACACAAACAATGCTACTTGCAGCAATAAGATTATGTATAGCATTATATCTTGCATTGTCAACCTTGATGGTGCATCCTGCATATTAACCACTCTAAGGTCCTTTGGGATCAGGCAGGCTGAATTTACTAAACCAGAGGAAATTTTGGCAGATTGGGTCTTGTTAGTCACTTTTTGATGCCCAGTAGATTATAAAGGATTTTCTTATCCACTGGGCCATAGTTCTCCTAATCCTATACAATTTATTATAACTTTTTATGTATAACTACAAATATAAACCACCAGTTACGTTTAAGTTCTAACCAATCCTCCGCGTTTCTTCACGTTTCCATCTTCCACTCTCACAATCCAGCCTTCAGCTACAACTCCTTAACCATAACCAGTAATTCCAGGAGAGGTTGAGAAGATCAGAGGAGTGACCGCCATGACACAAAATCTATGAGTAGTAGCTGCCACCAATAACATAGGTCAAGGATTTTGCTGCTCACTTACTACACAAGATTGGGCTGTGTCTATGAGGCCCTGGGAGGACCTTTCAGAGGCTCTACTTTTGCTCTATATTTACAGGATCAAAACACCATCAATTAGCTCTGTGAGTTAAAAATTTGCCACAACCTCAGCTTGCTGCCTCCAAGTTATTTTGTAACTATAAAATACATTATATAGCTAACAAAACTTTGTTTGTATATTGTCAAATTTTAATCTTGTATTAAGTAAGTTAATAATCACATAATCTCTCCACAAACATAATTTACTTGTATATGCTATCTTTTCCTCAATGTTATCAGCATTATCAACAACATTTTATGGCCATTTTCCATGCTTCATGGGTTAGCTGCAATTAAAAGATGGCAGCTGTTGGGTAAAACCAGAATGGAATTGTCCACCCCTTTACCACTGCAAACCCAAGTACAGTGCACTGCCTAAGCACAATATCAGCCCAGAAAATGCAGCAGAGACCAGTACAGTATCTTTCAGATGATGTAGAAAGGGTATAGAAGACATAAGATGACTAAAAAAATTTATTTGGCATTAAATGTTGTCATGAGCATGTCGTGTAAAAGCAGCATAAAACATAAATGCTACCTTGTCCGCCACATTTACACACAACCACCAACTCTACAACATGACAGCTTCAGTGGTCGTACAGAACCTAAGCTGTAGACTTTGGTATCTAAGACATACGTACTGAACTTATTGACAAGTCTTATAATAAAGGCACCAATATTTTCTCATGTCAAACATCTGACAATCCCTATAATACAGGCACCAATATTATTCTAAGTCAAACATGACAAATTCTTCACAGTAAATGATGATATTCCCTATTCAGTAATTTTGAATATAAACTAACTACACAAAAGAAAAATACACCACTGACAGAATATTTAACAACTTGGTTCTTGTACCACACAAGCTGTTTATCTCGCTCTCTTACTGTCACATAAAGCTGCTACCTGGGAACACTGTTCTGGCACTTGTCATCACTGGAAACCTCATCTTGTACTTATAAGTTAATTACTGATGAAAAACCAGCAAATATGTGCCTTCCTAAAAGGATCAATATGAACTCTACTCTCGCCATAAAAAAAAAAATCCATCTGTTACACATCAGGTCTCATAAGTAAGTCACATATGCCTGGAAACAGTCTACCTACAGGCCCACTCTCAAGATGAACACTACAGAGGGGGAGGGCTAGCAGGTTAGCATGATGTTGTTGCCTGGTGTCTCAGGAACCAGTCTAAGTCAGAGGTAGAACAGCAAAGAAACATTTTCTTTCCAATTTCATGAGTGTTTTAGACTGGCCAACTCACTACATAGAGAGATATTCCTAAAAAAGCTGTAAAAATTATTGCACAAGTTAGAAATGTTTAATAATCTACAGTACCTAAACACAGTACAGTACTGTACAGTACGTACAGTACTTCTCACAGAAGTAATCATTTGAAACTTCTTATCTTGAATTCATAAATCACAAAAGCCCCCTGCATTGATCTGATTATATTAAGATGAGTAAAATCAATCACTACTTAAGTGATAGTACAATATAAATTTAATGTTTAAGAATATAGATTTTTCTGTTGAGTTACAACTTGTCACATTTGTGTATTTGGGTGATCATTCTAAATCTATGGGTCTTCCTGGGCCTTGGAGCTAATATACTGTACACTGTATGGTTAGTTGTCACCTTGTGCTTTCCAAGAGTTAAATGATTAATGTGTATGAATCAATTACACAATAATTATATAATAACAACCTTAGTAAAACAGTTGAAGCTTAAAAAGACATCCTCAGATAGATGCACATGATGTTCACCGTCCCTAACAATTTAAGTTTGAGAAAGAAGTTCAGGAATCACCACATTATACTGTACAGACCTTCTATCAAACAGCTGCTCATCAAATACCAAATCAGAACACTTGATGTACAGGCTGAGAACATCAAATTTATATACATATGACAGTATAGCTCTTGCACCCAGCAGCTAATTCATATCTACTTCCTGGTTTCTCATATTCGGCTCTGAACATTAATTGAGTGACATTTTTACCTTACAAGACAAAGCATCCACACATGACTGCAGTACTATAAAATATTAACTATAAAACATATGTCTAATTAATTTTTTTAAACAATAACAATTGTCATGTTATGCATACTCTTATACATCCTCTACAGCAACAGTTATCAGTACTCAACAGATAAAACTCTTCTTTCTTAAGTAGAGAATACATTAATCTAAGTTGGTCAAGATAAGAAGCTTCAACCATCACCATACAGTATAACCTAGAATGAAGAGAATTGTTAAGTCTTACTACAAAATCAACGATAGAGAAACTTGTTCTTGATGGCACACATTGAAAGAACTTTGACCATGGTATCCTCACCAGCCTCTATAAGCACCAGCAGCTGCCTGGTCTGGAATGTGACATCTCTTATCTTTTATGATCAACACACAGTAACATTACACTACATTTATAGTCACATAATCATAATCATTTATTATATGGCACCTCCTTACGGCAGTACATCTTATACTTATTTCAGAATTGACATATAAATATTGAAGAAAAGCAGAGACCATACAAGATAAGGCTGAAAATTTCCATATCATAAATACTCAATACAGTATTTTGTTTGAATCTGGTTGAAAATGGTCCATATTTAACCATAAATACCCAATGTACCTCTTCCTGCACTTCAAGGAGGAGGACCCATGCAGAATCATTATCACACTCCAGTTACTATTTACAGTACTGTACAGTACTATAAAGGGTAGATGTATTGTGTACAGTACAGTATACTGTATACAGTACATATTCATCAATAAATTTGGGGATTGGGTCTTAATTAATAGAACTTACTAAACCTGTGTGTACTGTATGTCATAAAGTGAAACAAAGTATGCATGACACCATGTGACTGTGGAGCTTATCAACAATAATATCCCCCATGACAGCATTGAAACCTCAAAAGTTTGTGCGACTTGTTGCATCTATTCCCCTGCTGTTCTTATTTGGTTACGAGTTATGGCTACTCTTACAGCTGGACAGGTAATGTATATGAGTTAAAGTACTACAGTATTACAAAATTATCTTTCATTTTATTTTGAGTGGAGCACATATGATTAATGAAGGGTAAAGTGGATACAGTACAGCACTGACAACCACTCCTCTGACAAACAGTATAAGAAGTAACAAGCCTCATTAATGCCATGATCAAGCCAAGAGACTCACAGGATGCCTTTGGACAAAAATATATTAACTAACTCATTAAACAATAAACAGTGCTTTATTGCTCTTCAAATATCAGAAAGAGCATAAATTTTCTCCATAAAGAATTCATTCTTGTAACAATAACTTCCATGCAATTCCTTGGCATCTTTTTTAAATCCTGTGCAATAGCAATTATGAATTGCATGTATTGTGCAAGGTCTATAATAATGTATAATATAATAATGCTTTGTGCTTTTCCAGGTCAAAAACAGAAAAATAGCCACAAGATGAACATATTATATTCACTGATATATAATATGATTAATTTCAAACTCATCTATTCTGACATTGATATCATACCATTTTATTTTTGTTTTACCAGATATAATTTACATTAACTTGTAAATAATTTTAATTCTGCCAAGGCAGCTGTACTTTTTGTACTTAAGCTCATGAAAGGATGTCTTAAAAAAAAAAGGAAAATTAGGGTAAAGTCTTTGGCATTTAAAGATGTGAAGACAATCAATCACGTGAGAAAGTGTTCAGTGAGATTCTGCACACACTCTCCTGCCGTCAGTACAGAAAAAGGTTCACAAAATATAGAGAAACAAATAACCAGGAGATTATACACTGAGCACCTCACATTAAACCAGGAACATGAGTTACTGGATACAGCTCAAGAAAACTACATTAATCAGAGTTTTCAAGCATTTACAGCAATCATCCAAACACTTAAACCATCACCACAGTGGCATCATCACAGGAGGAAACAGAGTACAGTACAGTATAGGTATACCTATACCCTGGAGCTTAACAGTGTTTAGCAACCAACTCCACTTATCAAAGGGCCAATAGTGCTTTGCCAAATGTGCTGAGCAGAACTCTAGATCAGAGAAAAATGTAAAACATTTAATAGCAAGAGTAATTTGATCTATTTTCAATAAATGCTCAAACTCTTGAGTGCATTTCATAATATATCATCAAAGCAAAATTGTAATAAAACATGTGGAAGCAGGAGTATAAGCTCACTGACACTTAGTTTTCATTCATGTCCTGCTACAATTTCACCTCATTAGAGACGATGTTTAATTTACTGTGACATTGGTCATCAAACTAGCAGGATGCCAATTCACATTACACATGTAAAGAATTAAACCCCTCGGCAAGCATAGTTTAGATATCAAGAGGATATGACAGATGATACCACCTTATATACAACTTATGAATAATTCCCAAGCACACTGAAGAATGCACAGTTTTTCCTGACAAAGAATGTTTGTATATGGAGCTGCTCAGATGAACAATGATATTAAAGAATTCAAACTTGAAATGTAAACTGGATATTTGCCACATTAGTATTTACAAATATGCCATCCACAATAGTGTATAAAGATTAGCTTATTAAAGTATCCATTTATTTAAAAATCATATTAAATTGTTATATAAACATCAACAAACAACATTGAAAGTTTCCATCTCAAGAACTGATTAAGTTTAGAGTAAACAATCGTAGCTGAGGACAATCTGACTGCTCGTGTATTCTTATAAAAATCATAAAAACTGCAACCACATCCTCATAAAGATCACATGCACTATACTCTGAGACAAACTAAACATGTATATACAATTCACCTAAATGTAGTCACCATCCACAGCTAAACTAAAGCATCATAAGTCAAAGAGACTTTTACATCTGCAACTCGAAATCATTAGCCTGAAATTTATCAAGGATATCACATACAGGCTACTATACACTCAGGGGTTCACTGGTGCACTTAAACTAATTTCCTGACTTGGAAGTTTGGCTTGACCTTAAGGGTCAAAATATTCTATTATATAAGCAGCTACCTTTTAAACATTGCCAGTACAGCACTGTATTCAGTATTTCAACAGGATATTCCCTTCAAAAATAAAGAAACTATCATTTTAATAATACCCTGTAATGAGATTTTACCTATAAATTAGAAGCCTTGTGATTGTTACTTGTGAACAACTCGAATGCACACTAATAGTGAAAGTTTATAATCTTCATATAGTTGTAAGGCTGCCTGCATGCCTTAGTGCTCCACAAGACTACAGAGTATCATCATTATTTTGATATTTGAACAATACTGCTTAACTTTAAGGAATTATTACAGGAACTCAATAAAGTCAATTTTCTATGGGACTCACCAAGTGTACATAATAAGCTAAGCTAAATGTGTGCAATGATTACTTGATGTTCCAACTACTGTACCTGAAGGTTAATCCAAAACATACAATACTGTACTGTACTGGCAGTGTTTAGAAGGTAGTCTTATAACTTGACCAATATGGACTTAGAACATGTACTGTACACTACTAGGTGATGTTCCAATGTTTATACAGTATTTTTCAGAAGATGGTAAATATGAAGAGTCACAGCAGTCAAGTCAACCAGAAACAAGCACTCTCAATAGTGACCCAAGACCTGCACAAAGACTTTTCAATCATGTCAATATATTTCTACTTTCATTTGGGAAGTTCCATATCAAGATCAGTAGCACCTGTACTAAGTCACCTATCACTGTAGCCAATATATATACTGCACAATTTTTTACACCATACTTTCAAATCACTGATCTATTGTAGTTCACTATATTAAGTAATTATATGCTTCAGAAAATTCAACCACATTCTGATGTTGATCACTTTCATAACAACAAAAACTCATGCTGCCAAGATATCTCTTGTATCAAATATCCACAAATGCTGCCTAAAACTGTGTCCAATTGCTCAATCCCTACGTGTTCATGGATCAACAGATATCAGTGCACTATATAGAGGCATAAGAGGATTTTTCCACAAATATCTAACCATACACAGATCTGATAACGCTCCTGAATATCGACTAAATGTGAAGTCTTAATATATGACTAGAATACAGAGCACTGAAAAGACAAGACTATCCAATACCACAAAGTATTACCTGTGTATTCTGGGATAATCTAATATTCCTTTTCTAGAGTGGATTATTCATCAGAGCAGCCGCTACCTAAACTGCCTTCATGTAAGTTTTGAGCAATGAGTACCGTACTTAAATCCATATGAGAGTAAATGACATTTCTTAAATGTAATACAGAATATCCACACTTAGAGAGACATGAACAGTACTGATAACCACAATAGAGTTTAAAGGTCCTCCTCACAACATCCACGGAGCACTTCATGGGCCAGATGTGTTGTACGTATTTGAGAATATAATGTGATGAGTAAAATGAACATAAACCACTTTATCTTGGCCAGCCGTCACACATCACCATTCACAATATTTATCGGTACAGGTAATATAATTTTTCCACCCTCCCGGGCACTTGGAAATTATATTCAAGACAAATATTTATGTCCTGTACAGAACATGTATATTATATGCGCAAACAATACATTCATTGTACAGTGCTGAAAGTGTTCATACTCTACTGTACTGTATTTGTGACTCGTTGCCTGAGAAACTCTGTCATCTGAAGATTAGTTATTCCCTCCACAGTTTCTTCCTGACAAACCCTGCGACAAAGAGAAGGCTAACAATAGTGTACATGTCAACTACATTAACTTAATTCCAAATTAAACTATTCACTCTTCCCCTCCATTGAAGATGTTCAGTGACACTTATATCCGCTCTCATATTTACCCACTGACACATGGTAGACACTAATGCTTGGTCAAAAAATAACTGGAATGTATCATCTACAGTGGAAAATGTATTTGCATCGAAGGCAGAATATATTCCTGAATATTCTACATGAGAACAGTGTCTTCAGATTAGGTTTTACATCATGAAACAAGTCACTCATAAGAGTCCAGCTGCCTCAAACTTCATGCTCCTCCTTACTCTCTATGCTGTCCTGTGACAAAGGTTCACTGTCAAGGTGTTCCTGGTTGGGATTATATTCTACACCACTAATAATATCCTGTGATTCTACCATTTCTACCTCAAAATTGTAAGATGTCACACTATATATCCTTCCAATTCTAAGGGCAATGGGAGACTGTGGTGGAACAATGGAAGCACCCACAGGAGACTATGATGTCATTGGTTGAGCCGAGCACCATTGACTGAGAGGGGTATTATTGCTCACAGCAGCATATACTAGGCAGATACACCAAACCTGGCTCTTCTCCTATTACATCCAGGTTAATTTTGATGTACCACGAACTTCACCATCTGCGACTCTGAGGATCTTATGATGGACTGAATACATCACTGTGACGAAGAGGATAAATCTGCACAAAGATTTTCACAACCTATCGAACTTGGATGTGAAGTTTATGGTTACACCATCTTCTAACTGTATTTTACACTACCGTATACAGTTCATTAGCCCCTTCACTATGGGGGATGCCCCTTTTAATATTTCATTTGGTGAACACCAGATGATATTATTCAGTTCAGAGGAGAGGCCATACACAACAGGTTAAATATTTCATTCCACACTATTTCTGTAGAACTATACTATTTGTGTTAGTTTCTGTATTTACATCTTATGAGACGATTCGGTGTACAAAACTCTACTGTAAACACAGACTGGATCAATGAGTGTAACGTTAAAGGCATAAAATTTTTGTTGAAACTCCATCGTCTACTCTGCCGTGACATAGTGCTGCATGGATGTCGTTAAAGATCTTTGCTACCTGTCCCACATTTTTCTAATTGTAAATATAGGATACTGTAAATTTTTACCACATCTGGAATGTTACTCCTTCACTTTTGAGACATGAACACATCTACAGAATTTTCCATGTTACTGTATCCGGGAAACAAACATTATTACGTAAACAATCTGTTCACCGTATAGTCAGTGCAAACATTTTTTAGAAGCTATTACAGTACTGTACTGTACTGGATTAGTTACGGATGTTTATGCCACATATACTATACAGTAATGGACTTCTTTGTAAATCAATACTACAAATTCACTAATCCTTTTAGTTACCAAAATGCAATACAGCCTGGTACCACATCACAGACACAGACACTGCACAAGACTGGTATACCTTACAGCACTTGACATGATGTAGACTCCTTAAATATAAACTTAGGATTTTGGTACATTAGTCAATTAACACTTAACAAATAACAACATAAAAACAAACTTGTCTTTTGTTCTTCACATGAATCTATATAATTTTCAATATAATCTCAACAAAGTAATACAGGCAGTCAACTCTATCCAATGTCGAACTTGAATAATCTTAGTTCAATCAACAGCAATAAGCTATTATCTTTCAATCAATTTGGGAGGGGGAAAGAGAGATTATTAGCAGAGTTTCCAGCCAAGTAATATGCATGCAAGTTACCAAATACTTAGAACTTTTTAACATACAATAACTTTCTTGATTTTTAATATGATAAAACCTACTGAATATAATTAATTCCTACATGATAGTACGTATTTGTTTATGCCTTACTCAAAAAATATACAATACAAACATACACAACATACAGGCATTTCAATTAATATGTAAAAATTTATACAGTACTTACACAAACACAATCACACAAAAGCAGAAATTAGTTACCCCCTTTAGCACTCCATATTGGTATACTTATTCTCAGCAATGATGCCACTACCTGTAACTGAACATTAACAAAGGATTCATCAGGGAAATTCCTCTCAAAAAGTAGAAACTTCATCTCATCACAGTCTATAATAATGTACATTTCAGTGATCCACTCAGTTTTTGAAGACTGCAGCCACGTGTGGAAAAGATGCCATTATGTTCTAGCAAAGGGCAAATCCTGAAATTAATTGCCAGCTTTAAAAGATAAGCTATTTTTTTATGTTCTCCCTATGCCGACACTACATCACTGCCCCTCTTCTAATACAATCACATTCACAGTTTCTTCAGATCTATTATCAAATGTAATCAATTCATAGCACATGTCCTGAAACACTAAAGAGCTCATTGGAAAGATTGAAAATTTGCAGGGGCAAAATTAAGAGATTTTCAATACCTAATTTTTTTCCGACCTGCAGCTCAAAAATGAAATTAGCCAACATACACCTTATAAACTGAAGAATTTGTTCATCCTTACTTGTGACTCTTTACTATTTCCTTAAATTCATTAGCCAAACTTTTTGGTCTCAAGCAATTACTGATAAGTGGACAAAAAGTTCCCTGCCAGATGCAAGTCATTTTACGGAAAAATAAAAAACTGCAATGTATATATGTAAACACACACACACACACACACACTCAAACATGCACAAAAACACTCTGTATACATTTAAGCTCAACACACATACACACTCATAGCTTAGGTCTGTACAGTACATTTCAAAACATATAACACACTTAGTGATCAGCACTCCTCAACCAGCACAAATACAGAACCACTAAACTGCACCCTCAATGTTAACCTAACAGTCTATAGAACAGTACCAACATGATGCCTTAATCACTGAGAACTAATACCTATAAAATAAATTCTTGCTCAGTGGCATCACAAAATGTGCTGCTTGCCTATTACAATTCGGTTAATGAAATAAACAGTACTGTACGGGTAACTGAGTGACTGACCATGGAGTTCTCTGGTGTACCGAGCAGAAATAACAGTACAAGACGTCCGAGCCCTTCGCAGCATCAAACAGTGAGATAAAAGACGTTATCTATGTTCATATTCTCACACCTTCTCACAGCAATATTTCCATAATGTTCCTGCCACGGTTCATCCTACTCTAAAAAAATATAAGATCTTTACCTTCAAAAAGACTTAAGTGACACACAATACTCTAAATCATATTCAGCAACACTAAACTGATTCAATGTAAACTACAAAACAAGAGGTTTATTATTCCACTAAACATACTGAAATAAACAAAGTAAATACAGAGAAGTAATACAAAATAAAAACACATATTGCTTCTCAAATAATTAATAATAGCCAAAAACTTGAACATATAAATTTCAAAATAAAATCGAATATGTAAATTAATACTTATATTCAGATCTAAGATAAATGATAATGAGTGAGTCAGTGGCCACAGAGACAGTATTACAGTATCACACTAAGAGTACAAGTTTCAAGATGATTCAAGATTTTAAGCTCTGGGTTAAATTCCTACAAGCTGTGGAAACCGTTTTCATTGTCCACAGTCCATAATGGATATAAGCCATTATCCCATCAGGTAAATAAACACTACAATGTCTGGCCCCCAGGAGAGTGAGTAGAATTTTGTGGAGAGAAATATTTGAGAAGAATCTACAGTATATGGCAGTAAATACCACTATCTTCATGAATGTGTAAAATTAAATCAGAAAAATTATTCACAACTTGGGAATTATGTGTGTGTGTGTGTGTGTGTGTGTGTGTGTGTGTGTGTGTGTGTGTGTGTGTGTGTGTGTGTGTTTTACAATGGTGTTGGGGGGCAAAGAGTAAGGCAATGAAATTCCTATTACGTACATATGCAAAGAATAAATAATGTATCCTGATTCAGATATGAGAGAAAAACAACAAATTTTAACAAAACATTAAAATTAAATAAAAAAAAATTACCTTTCATTGGCATTTTTCATTTTAAGTCACATTATCTTGCATCACTCACTTCTGAAAAACAAGCAGAAAGATAAAGGAGACAAACATGAGAAATAAACACAGCAAATCTCTTCAAAGCCTTCATGATAATCCAGGCTCAGACAGGGCAGATATTCCCTTAGGTGCTGAACCCTTTTCCCAAAATTCAGAAATAATAAACTCCAGATTTACACATGTCAACAAACCGCAATGACAAAACTTTAAGATTTTCATCATAGTCAAAACACACACCAAATAATTAAATACATATCAACTCGCAATATGGCATCTTAAAATAAAATATATATTTTTTCAAAAACAATCAAATTACAAATGGCTTTAGCAGCTCACTATCGTCTGGGATGGCAAACTTCTTCAGCAAGTAGGAACAAGATATACTGTATATAGACTGGACCAAATTTCTTTTCAAACTGTGTTATATAATAACACAGAACTTCTTGACCAGTAAACACAAAATGCTGTACTATTTTAGGAAATTGTGCAATAGGTCTGCAGACCAAATATAACTATTTTAATCTTCCCGGTGATACTCAAACCACCAACCCATTCAAGGAGTGGTGAAGGCATTGCCATTGAGTTACCAATGCATTCAGAAGATCAGCAGTGATGCCAATCCTTCTCACTTAGTGGGTTGATGATTTGAGTTCCATTGAGGGAGATTAAAATATGTACATTACAGTATTAATGTACTTACACAATCCCTTTACTGCCGTCAGATTAAGTCTTCTTGAAGTAAAAAGAATTACTGTAATATATTGATACACAGGTATACAGTCAGCAAAAAAGTATCTGTATCCTGCTATGCCTAACAATCTGAAACATTGGGGAAAAACTTAAAATGTATTTCTGTGATTATCATCATGTACTGGTGGGTTTGTTCCTCTTGTATGGCAGTGTTACTATAATCGCATTTCACAAAAATTCCGTATCTCTACTACAGTAAAGCCTCTGATAACAACGGTTCGACCAACAACTTTTCATATTTAAGACCCTAGTTAATTTAGGACCCAATTCAATTTACATCCTTATTTCATTCGTATTTACGACCAAAATGTAATAAAAATAAAATAAAATTCTATTTTCATAAAAATACTGTAATAACTAAATCCCGATCGATATGAATTATAAAAAAAAAAATACTGTACTGTAAAAAAAAAAGAAGAGCGCCTTGTGCAAAGAAACTGCCTAGCTAATGAGTGGTAATGCGCATCGCCAGTAAACAACAGTCGGAGCTTGGCGGTCAACTTGTCTTCATGCATCTTAACAGGAACAGGAGAAAAACTTTCTCAGGTTTTTTAAAGCATTTTTGCATCCTTATTCAACAAGAGCAAGAGAGCAAGTGATGGTAGTGTTGTTTCAAAAGCTAATAGAAAGTGCATAAGCTTGGCCGAGAAACTAGATGTGTTAAAACGATATGAAAAGGTGAGAGGTCTGTGGATATTATATGGAGCATCAGCTGATCCGTATATACTCGTGTATAGTTCGAGTTTTTAAGACCAAATTTTTAGGCAAAAAAATTGGGGGTCGACCTCTACATGGGTAATAGTTTTGTTAGGTTGAATCCGTGCATGATGGGAAGGGCGAGGAGCAACTTTTAGCTTTAGACATGAAAAGTATTTACCATTTACTGCCAGTACACAAAGGAAACGTAAAATATGTACCAATTAGTAATGAAAAGCTGTGCAGTGCCTTCAGCAGATGAAGCTCACCAACTTACAATAGGCTAACTTACCTTACAACGTGCTTTCATTAGTCTATGTTGAAGTTCTTAGCACAGGCTAACTTATCATATCATATACGGTATCACAGTACCCATAGATCTACAAAAAATACCGGTAATAAAAATCTTTTTGATATTTCACTCTTAATCTAATAATCCACCTCAGTCTCATATTGTAGGTCACTCGTGATGATGTGAGTCAGGTCATCTACACACAGTTGCCAGTTTCAAGATTTTCCGTTTAAAATTCTAAGTTACCGAGTATTTCTTTTCCCAATTTGTTTTACAATACTGTAGATAAAACAGTTTACTATAGCAGGAAATATTGTGCAAACCCCAATAATTTTTTTTTTACAGAAATGGAGACATCATAAATGTAAAAAAAGAAATGCTGTGTCTGACTTGAAACACTGTTGGTAGGGTCAGCTGGTTCTAATGGCATCCTGCCAGTAATCAAATTTATAACAGTGTCTCTAACCTCAATTACTGTAGTTTATCTGATGTAGGCAATATGAAGTAGAAAATACCAGTTAATGTGAGAAATTGGAAGAGAATAAACAAGAAAGATGCAGTTGGGCTATTTTTGGTAGGGCTGAGGGAGAGAGTACCAGCTATTTGGTCTTTTTTGGCGGGAGAGTCACGCAAATACCCGTACTGGTATTTGTTTGGTGTCTTCTGTATTTTTAAAAATGAATACTTGTAAATTAAAAGTACCGTAACATTGTATTACATACAAACTTATAATATTTCTGGAAAATAAGAAGCAAGAAAATAAGAATATAAACACAATTTCAACGTACGGTAATATTAAAGGCTGCTTAGGAAGGGCCGATGCAAAGGCAAAGCCTCCGCGACCAGGGCTCTGCCGTATCAGCTAGATGGTACGTGTTTTTCGAATGGTTTTCAGTTAAAAAACTGTTGTATGACAATAACATTCTATCCTAATTGACTTGAGTAAATACTTGAATGGAATTATACAATATTTTTGCTGCAACTACCCACGTTTCAGTGTAAAGTACCGTAATAATAAATGGTAAACAATTTGCCTTCGGTGCTTGGCGTTTCAGGCACAGCGACCCTCAGTTTATAGGACATAGAGTGTTTTTAGTGAAGGTTTTCTGAAATGAGTTTTATATGCCATAAAATAAAGTGCTTTATTACCCAAATTTGTTGTTCCATTACCCTCAAAAACTTGGGTCGACCTATACACGAAGCATATCATAAATTAATGATTTCTTGGTCAAAATCAAGGGTCGACCTATACACGAGGTAAAATTATAGACGAGTTTATCCGGTAAATATCAAGAAAGTTGAGCTCTTTAATATTTTTGCATTTTTTATATTAAAATTATTAGTCATTTTAAAATTTATTTAACATATTGAAAATATATGCAGTACAGGGAACTAGTTTTTTGTGTGCCCATCAGCAGCTTGACTCAGCCACAAGGCGTCAGTTTGGCTTTGTTGACAGTGGAGTGAGAATCTATTTTGTTGGTGTCTTGAATATTTTTGCATTTTTCATTGAAATTATTGGTCATTCTGAAATTTAGATAACATATTGATAATATATAGCACAGTGCAGTGTTGATTTAAATAAAATAATCTTTAATTACAGCTAGTGAACTTAAAATTTTATTGGTGAAATGACGGCATCAAGCATGGGTCCCCTGAAAGGTGATTTCTCCCCCATCCCCACTTCCTTCTCTTCTCCCTTATCTTCCACCCCCACTTCTAATTACCATCATCATCATCAACCAGGAACCTTCTACATACACACCTCAAAGTAAGTGTGCTTTACTGCATTTTTTTTTTTTACTTTGTATGTACTTTTCTGTGAGCTGGAACCAATTACCAAATATCCCGTTGAAACAATGGATTCGGTTAATGAAATTTTCGGTTAACGAACGACCCACTGGAACGAATTGTGTTCCTTAACCGAGGGACCACTGTATTCAAATTAATTTTAGTCACCCCTTTTCTTTCTAAATGTTTTCTCCCATACACACTATTTATAAAATACCAACTTATTAAATTCATTCTAAATATTATTTGAGGTATTATTTGATAAACCTTTACCGAAGAACATTCTGCAAGGACAGATTTTTTTTATAGCCAAGAGGTGCCAACCTATCCGATACATCAATGCATCTGAAGCTATTGCTCACTTTCGATTCCACAGGATCATGGGGCCTAGACACAGTTTTTGCTGACTGTACTTGTGTATCATATGCATCCATCTAAATCCATTTAAATAATCTATTCGTAAAATTTACTACTCACAAGTCAGCCACATTTTCAAGATGGCCATTGTAAATTAACTTTAAGCAGATCTAATAACAAATGACTAAAACAATAATAAACAAAATCCTCAATAATACAATTCTCATGGTAAACAAAGTGAGAGACGCTGGACCTTAAATTATATCAAATAATAATCCAATACTGTCTCCCATTTTCTTACAACAGAAGACTTCATCTGAGATTTACACGTCACTACAATGTACAGTATTCCATCTTGAAACCTTATTCTTTAACGGTCAACTCACCAGTGTTGGTGACTTTGTTATGCCACTGAGCTTATTAATGCTTACAAAATTACAACTGTAACTACAAAGAATGTACTAAAGAGCACAAGAGGAGAACTTAATGTATCTACTGTCATGAAATTGCTCTTGTTCTGCTGTGCACAACCAGTTATCACCTTAAAACAATCTAAGTTTAAACAAAACTGTAGATCTTCTGAACGTTTACAACACAACTCATTGCAAACTAACACAGTCCTACAGCAACAAGTAGTACAATACTTTATTCCTTGTCTTCTCGCAGTTTTTGTCACTGCCAAAGCTGTTCGGCAAACTACTTGTTGCACTGCAGGACTGTGTTCAAATTTCTACACCGATGTGTTGTTTTTTATAATGCTTTTTGAGGGTGTTAAAACTGATCAGATAAAAATATCCTTCTATGCACAATCAGTCCCATCATGCTGAACAGAGGTACAATAAAATGGTATAGCTTGTATTGTACTAAAGTAATCACATCCCTGAAACTATATCATAAGTAACTACTGTCAAATTTAAAGCATAATTAACAAAACAAAAAATAACTAAGTTGAGATCTTACTGCCTAAAGGGGTAGGTGGCACTGTTATAATGAGATCTTTAATATTTAATTGCTGAAAAAAATTCAGTATTTGTTTCAGTAAGAGAAGATTATCAGAGGGAAATTAATCAGAAATCCTCTATATTACAATACAATACATGTAATCTATATTGTAGAAATAAAGTGAATGTGTAGTGCAAACCGGTACTAAGAATAACGCAATTCAACCTGCCATTTTCCATCATAAACAAGTTACCTATAATTAATGAAGCCCCTTTTGTTCGTCTACTAAGCGTAGGAGTATAAACCAAAAATATTACTAATTACAGTTTGGCAGCCAATGCCAATGCCCCATTTGTGATTGAGAATCACTTGGGATCATAAGGATATCTGTGGTTGAAAGATGGGGGGTGGGGGGGGACCTGTCTTCATCCTAAAATGGTTCTCATCTCATAATGACATCAATAACTCATACCTAATTGTTCAATGAATACTGTCAGTTCAACCACTAAATCACACATACGCACATATACATGCATGCACGCACATACGCATGCATACGCACGCTCACACGCATGCATACGCACGCACGCACACACACACATACAACCATATTATCACTAACCAAGTAGAAGCTTAGTTATCCAATCCCTTCCAGATGGTGGAGATCTTACACAATTTGTCCTCTCTTTCTTCTTTATAATGAAATGTTATGAAATATTTTCACAATACACAATGTCATCCAGGTGCTTAAGCTACAATGTCATGCTGAACTAGATACCAACTCTCTAACTTCTTTGACATTTTATAAATCTATGCAAAAAATCACATCCATGTAGTGTGTGTGGTTTCAAGCTATGATGAAGCAGGTAAGAAACTGTGATATACTGTAGTGTGGTTCTTGGTGAGTATTACATATACGTACTTAGTTTTCAAAATATGGAGGCCAAAGTTCCAAAAATTTATAAAGTTTAATCTACAGTTTACATATTCACATGTTTTCAACTGACTGTGTCGAATGTGATGAAAAATTAATGAGATTACATGAACAATTATTAACTGGTTTTAGAGAACAGTTCTGATAAAGAAAAAAGAGTGTATGATATAAAAAATAAAAATAAATAAATAAATCCAATTCTACTGCAGCAAATTACGTTTAAGAAGCAGTACAAGACTATGAGGGAAGCAGATCATTCCCTTTTATCAATTAGTCCAGTACATCTTTCCAACTGATGAATGATATAAAATCCATTAAATTAATTAAAATGGAGTAATTTCCTAAGCAAAAGATCCAGTCATGAGTTGGTAATCAGCGAAAATCTTAATTCAAATTATAAATGAATAAATAAAATAATGAGCATTTAATCTGAAACTTATTTTTTCTTCAGTTCCTTGATAAATTAAGATTGATTTAAACTTTACCTTGTCAGCTTTACCTTCTAAACAGAGACATCTTCAATACTCACAATTTACTCTGTATCCATTACATGAAAAAAAAATCATGCGTGTTAATCTGACCTTCATATCTCTCAGCTGGGTAGCACGGCCTAATGCAGGAAATACCCCCTTTACTTATTTTTCCCTTTTTTTTGTCTAATTTCTGAAAGGGTTCCTTAAAAGTTCCTCTAAACAAATATGGAATAACACCATTATTTAGAGTAATCCTGTCTCAGTAGTAATGGTAGTACTGTATTGTACGAGCTATAGTACTTGAGCATTTTTTTAAATCAATGTACACCATAAAAAGGTTTTGTGCTTGCTGTAAGAAACTGCTCGAACTGCTTTCTTGACCAAAAAAAGTTTGTTGCAGTTCTAAAGTGATACAAGACTTATTTATCAAGTATGCCATTCACAACCTTGTTTATCCTGCATTCCTAACACTAAGTATAGCAACATAGCTACTGTATACAGGGCATTTAAATTCAACTTTGGCCACGTGAATGAATGGTTTGAGTGAGTATGTACAAGTACCTGTATGCAAATGAGTGCATGTATAATTATTTGAATGCAGATGCACAAAACATATGCATTTATAAACATACATAAGTATGTAAAATCATGCACATGTACACGAGCATTCAGATGTAAAGAACCTAGTAATTAGGCACTGTTGAGCCACACTCACTTATGCTTCCCATGATTTTCAATCTCATGGAATTAAGGTCCCTCTAGAGTAACACAATACATACCACATTGGTCTGAATAAACATCATCAATAAAAAACCCCATGATTTCTCACCCTAGCTGCTCACATCAGTGGAAAAACCCAAGAGAATATTTCAACAACACTCTTTCAACTTATACAAACATTCCTCTTCATGAAATAGGCTGTCCTTCATCACCAGATACATGGCCAAAATATTTTGGTGTCTAACAAACCTTTTCTGGGGCATAATAATCATGTCTTCATGTATATGTGTAGGTATTTTCCACCGCTCTTCCTGTAGACCCACCTGAGTTACTCTGTTCATACTGAAGTCGTTCAAGGACTGTAGTTGTCATGCGAACTGATCCTCCATGAGTTGCAACCTACAAGACAAAATTGGAAAAAACAAAGATGAGTAATCTATCCATCTTAATGAAATGAACAAATTTGTCTTGTACACAAAGAAGTAATTCTCACTTGAAAGATTCCCTAAATACTTTTCAATTGCCTGCACTGCACAAGATACCATGACAATGGTCTGGATAGTTTGTCAACAAATTTGGTAAACCACTAAGAAAGATTCACAGTTACAACAACACAGCTTTGTCTTAACAGTGTAACACTTATTAGCAAACAATGAAAGCAAAACTGATAAGATATTTCACAGAAATTTTCAATAGCATTTGTCTTTCTCCCTTTAACAAACCTTATACAGTACTGTATCACAATACAAAATAGAGGACGGAATCAAGAGCAATACAGCTTCACTCTCACCAGCTTCTTTGCCAGATATATACAAATTATGAACAAAAGAGGGAAAGTCTGTGTTGCTCCTGATGCTAGTCACCCTACACTACTATGGCAAAGTTTTACAAGAGTTTAGAACAAAATACACAAATTAGCCATACCTCTCTCGTGTCTGGGAGGTTTGGTGGTCTGCGCTCTGCTCCTCCTTGCCCTGCTCCTGTATTACGAGCAGAATAATCAGAGGCAATGACAAACTCTGAGAGAGTTACATCTGAGGTACCACCAGACTCTAGAGGGATGTGGTTGTCACGGAAGTACTCCAGCAGGTCAAATATTGTGGCAAAGGACAAATGTTGGACCCGGCACGCACCATCTGGGTTGATGGTCATTCTTAAATGCTGGAAGACAAAATACAAATTGATAATGGTCCATTCATTAGACCAGCGATTTTCAACCAATGTGCTGCAAAGCATCCGTAGGTGTGCCGCGGGAGTTTAAATAACATTTGGATAGCATTTTAAAAATAGCATTTGAATACGTTTTGACATTACTGGTACTTTTATGGAGCGCATTAAACTCCTTTTTTTCAATGATGCAATAAATAAACAAATGTGTTGTTCATTAAAAGCCCAAATGGCAGTTTTAAATTCTCTCCTTAATTCCGTAGTGTAGATCCGCAAATCTCCACTGCCATCCTTAAGATGCAGTAATGCGCATGTGCGAGTGAGGCCCCAGCAAGGGAATCTGAGTGAGCGGGTAGTCTGCCTAACGTGCCCAGGGATCTAAGAGGCTCAATACGTTCGTCCGTGATGCAGTGTTTTTTTCGACCCAACAGTTATTTTGTTAATAAATATTCATAGTCATTTCTTTTTGGTAATTGTTAAGTAAATACCGGTGGACATTTGTTTAATTCAAAAGTACATTTTTAAGTAGATAATGCAAATCTGAGACATTTTTCTTCTATACAAAAATCGTCACAAATTATTTTTATTTTACTCTTGAAACTAACCAAAAATTAACCTAACCTAATCTAACCTTCAAGACTCATGAGTAAAATAAAAATAATTTGCGAAAATTTTCTTTTTTCCAGGGCTTATTAGACATGGATAGATTTATTACTAAGAAACGCAAGTTAGAAAATGATGACAATGAACCAAGTGTGGCTGGCACTAGTTCTGGTAGTAAGACACACAGGACCGGCAGTGCTACTTCTAAATCAGTTGTGCACCAGTATAAAGAAGACTATTTGTCCTTCGGATTCATTTTATCTGGAGAAGAAGAACCACGTCCTAAGTGTGTTGTTTGTGGCGAGAAGCTGGCAAACAAAGCTATGGTTCCAAGTAAGTTGAAAAGACACCTTCACACAAAGCACTCACATTTATGCAAAAAACCAATTGAATATTTTAAAAGGCTTATAGCTGATCAAACACACCAGTCTCAACAATTCACCAAAATCACAACTATTTCTGACAAAGCTCAAGAACCAAGTTTTGCTGTTGCAGAAATCATTGCAAAAAAGATGAAATCACATACAATTGCAGAGTCAGTAATATTACCAGCATGCTGTAAAATTGTAAATATTATGTTTGGCGAAAAATATGAAAAAGAGATTTTGAAAATCCCCATGTCAGATAACACCATTAGTCGTCGTATATCTGATATGTCTCAAGACGTTGAGTCACAAGTGACAGCTAGCATTAAAGAAGCCAAATGTTTTGCCATCCAGTTGGACGAGTCAACGGACATCACTGGAAAAGCTCAACTCTTAACATTCATCAGGTTTGTTTGTAATGAAGAAATAACTGAACAATTTTTATTTTGTAAACCACTTCCAGAAACAACAAGAGGCCAAGACAATTTTTGAGGTTGTCGTCAGCTATTTCAGTTCTTACGATTTGTCATGGAAATCATGCATAAGCATCTGCACGGACGGTGCCCCCTCTATGTCGGGAAGCCTAAAAGGAATCATCGCACTGGCCAAACAAAAGAACCCTGGCATTGTTTTCACACACTGTTTCCTGCACAGAGAGGCCCTCAGTAGTACCTGAGCTCCAGAAAGTATTAGATGAGACGATCAAAAGAGTTAACTACTGTATATCGAAAGTAGGCCATTAAAATCAAGGTTGTTTTCAACACTGTGTTCTGCCATGGAATCTGCTTACACACAACTTCTACTACACACAGAAGTGAGGTGGTTGTCTCGAGGGCGGGTGCTTTCGCGAGTTTATGAACTAAGGGAAGAGCTTCTTATATTTTTGACATCAGAAGTCTGAGCTGGCTGACCTGCTTAGTAATGAAACCTGGTGCAATGAAGTTGCATTCCTGGCTGATATATTCCAAGCCTTGAACACTCTTAATAAGAGTATGCAGGGAAAGAATGAAAATATTCTGACTTGTACTGGCAAAGTTAGCTCTTTTAAGGAAAAACTAACTCTGTGGGGAGCCAGAATAAAAAAAGAGAAAGTTGAAATGTTTGAACTGGACAAAAGTCTTGTCAGTTTAATTCTACAAAGTTGTCACAACCGAATAAAAACATTGAAAAGTATTTCCCATCACTTGATGTATCTTCCTTGGACTGGGCGAGAGATCCGTTTGTGGTAAGTGCGTGCGAGTCAGCAGGATTAACTGTTGCCGAAGAGGATGAGCCGACGGAAATCAGAAACGACAGAGGACTGAAACTGAAGCACCTATCAACAGATATGACTTCATTCTGGTTGTCCCTTCGAGAGGAATACCCCATCATTACAAAGAAGGCAATTGAAGCACTTCTTCCTTTCCCAACATCGTATCTGTGTGAAGCTGGCGTCTCTGCCACGAACACAATGAAGAGCAAGAACAGGTCACAGCTTCAAACACTGGAGGAGGACTTGAGGGTATGCCTGTCAACCATTCGACCTCGGACAAGGAACATCATGAGACAACACCAAGCACAGGTTTCCCACTGATATTTTTATGTAAGCAAAGGCCTTTTATTTTTACTCATGTTTATATTTAAATACAATCTATATCTGAAAGTTTTGTATTATTTTTTAATGACTGGCATCTTTTTCAATGACATCTTGTTTCAATGTGTAGTAATAACAAATATACACAAAACTTTCAAATTATTTTGAAAACCATGATCAACAATATACTTTTGGCAATAAAATTAATAAATTATTAGTTTTTTTAAATTATGAACAGATTCTTATCATTCATTTTCTTTTAAATGATCAAATCTATCCTTAAATACTGATGGTGTGCCTCGACCATTTTAGTGCCTGGCTCACTGTGCCGCGAGATGAAAAAGGTTGAAAATCACTGCATTAGACTATAATGAAAGATACTGATTTTTCTACCATTTCTTCTCAACCATAAATAATAAGTTACAAAAGTTCCTCACTATCTCACTTTTATAATAAAATACAAAGATATTACAGAATTAACTAATAAGTGGTATGCTTCTCAATCGATACATGCAATACTGTATGGGGTATACTGTACATACAGTCAACTAAGTACTGTACTTACACAGATATACATACATAACCCATATAAATGCATATGAATACTAACTTTTTAACTACTGTATTGTACAGGGTATTAACAATGTCTACAATAATTTAGAACAGTGGTCCCATCCTACAGTTCAGGGGCCGTAAACAGACCCTAAACTGTTTGTGCAACCCTCGAGCCTTTCAGTAAACAGCTAGTTATTTGTAAGGGTGTTTTTTCTATTTAAAAAAAAAAAGTTACCTGCTGGTTGTGGGGAATATTCGGTCTGAGACTGGTCAGAAGGATTCTCACAGTATGTTTAATGGCTTGTAGGCCAGCGTGACCTTGTTACTTAGTAAAGTGATGGTTAGCAGTCTCTTTGAAGAAATGTTTGGTACTGAACATAATAATCAACACAGGTTTGGTGACCAGCTCAAACTGGGTCAATACACAGGTAGGGAGACACCGGGGTTACTGGGTAAGGCAAGTTGGATACTTCTTGTTGGGTCCAAAGGAAGTGTGTCAACATCACTTATTTGACCATTAAGTGTGGCCCACTCATATAAAAATTCCAGGGACCATTGTTCTAGATACTGGACATCATCTTAACAGCTCACCTTTGCTCTCCCTTGATAGTTGAAGGTAAGAACATACTCCCCTTTCCTTGTTTCACTTTGTCTAACAAGAAAGACACCATGTCCTGCCACAGCCTCCTGAAGGACGGCAGAGGCAGCATCACAACGAGAGAGTGTACCGTGAAACCAAGGGTAGTCTCGTAGGCTGGAGTAAAAGTCCACATCTGAAGGTACTCGCACATTGACTGGAGGAAAAAGGATACCTGTTCTTAACTCTCTGGAGACACATATGCATTCTGTGAGTATTGGAGATCTAAATTAATTTGAAATAGGATTTATATTATTAAAAAAGAAAAAAAATCATTATCAAAATCCCTAAACTTCTGTATTTAATGCTTTCCAAAATTTATCATCTATTGTATAATTTTAATCAAACTGTCACATTTGTTTTGCTTCTCCTTTGTTTTCCTGACTCTCCAAATCTCTTCAACAATACTGTTGTCCTTCCTATTAAACACAAGATATACGTACCAGTGTCCTCGCTTGAGTAATCTCCAAGTCCATTTTGAGATCTGGAGTGCATTGACAGGTTGCTTTGTCTTGCAGCTATAATAAATGCCTGCCAATAAAAAAGAAACCTCATAAATATACACACAACAGAGTGGTCAAGGTTTATAATGTAGATGAAATGATAAAGTACAGTGGTTCCTTGATTAACGAACACAATTCGTTCCAGAAGGTCGTTCGTAAACTGAAAATTTCGTTAACGGAAACTTTCGTTAACGGAAACTTTCGTTAACCGAAACCATTGTTTCAATGGGATTTTGGGTAATTGGTCCCAGCTCACCGAAAATTACATACAAAGTAAAAAAAAATGCAGTAAAGTACACTTACTTTGAGGTGTGTATGTAAAAGGCTCCTGGTTGATGATGATGATGATGGGAATTAGAAGTGGGGGTGGAGGAGAAGGGAGAAGAAAAGGAAGTGGGGGTGGAAGAGAAATCACCCCATGCTTGATGCTGTCATTTCACCCATAAAATTTTAAGTTCACTAGGTGTAATTCAAGATTATTTTCTTTAAATCAACACTGCACTGCACTATATATTGCCAATATGTTAAATAAATTTCAGAATGACCAATAATTGTACTGTAAAAACGTAAAAATACTCTGTGTTCAAGAGACCCACAAGCAAGATGTTTCCTCCACTGAACAGAGATACAAACTGAGGACTTGGTGGGTGAGTGAAGTGACTGATGGGCGCACCAAAAACTAGTTCCCTGTACTGCAATTATGTTAAATAAGTTTTAAAATGACTAAAAAATTTAATATAAAACTTGGAAAATTATTGAATAGTACAACCTTCTTGATATTTACTCCAATTTTAACGAATGTAAGCCCTAGAACCAATTTCTGTATTGGCGGACTAATCTTCCAGCTGGTGAGCAAGCCAAAGCATGTCGAAACATTTTTGTAAGAATTTCGTTAACCGAAATGAAGATTCTTATGGAAGGTAATTCGTTAACCGAAATTTCGTTAACCGAGGCATTCGTTAACCGAGGGACCACTGTACTCCCAATATGACAAAATTTTTATACAAAACAAATTACATCACCAGTTGTTTACTTGGGTTGGGAACTAATGAAAACTTAACTACTTCATTGGTAAATTATATAAACATCTATGCTTAATTAGCCTGGTCAAAATTTAAGTGAAATAACATGTAAGTTGATGTACACACAGCAACAATATCACAACAAAGGTGCCATGATGTGAATTCAAAACATATAAGTACACAACTAAATACTGTACAATTCAATGCTTTTAATTGGATCATCTTACTATACAATCACACCAAACGCAGACACATACACAGATCACTTCCGGCCTCTTAAGGTGAAATAAGCAGTAATCACAATCACCTCTGCATGTCACAATCACCTCTGAGATGTTATAGGCCATGCACAGATAAGTATTACCCTTGACCTGTTGTGAGCTCGGGGAGGTAGTACCAGGGACTCTTGGGGGAAGGTCTGGAGGATGTTCAGGACGTTCTATCACCTCACCACCTCCTACCGTGGCGGCCAGGGACTGTGATGACTCATTCTTCACACTATACATTGCTGGTCGAAGCTCATAATTCTTTGACCTAAATAACATTCAAATTAGAAAAGCTGACATAGAAATACACTCTGATTGTGCTATGCAAGATTTCTGACATTATTTACCAAGCACTTTCTTCACAATGTATTTTCAAATCATTAAATGAAACTAAAGTACAGTACAGGACTTTAACAGTTTTAATTCTCCTTCCCTTTAAGTCTATCACAGAGAGCCAATCTCAAGCAGCTTTTTGTATGAAGTGGGCTATAATAATACCAGACTACAGTACAAGCCAACAAATATTAAAATGATACACCATACTTACTGTTCTTTATCGGTGGAACAACAATGAGCAACGATGGTCGTCAGCCACACCTTCATGTCCTCCTGGTCCTGAGCCTCCACTACCCACTCATTGCCACTATCTGCCTGTAATAAACACATGAGCACATGTGTTAACCAGAAGTAGAGTTTTAATAGTAATAATAAAGGAGCTGATGCTAAAAAAAATAGTCTTTATACGTAATTCTAATATAAAAAAGCTGCATGGAAAGCATACAGTTCACTTCCATCTCTGGACAATAAAGAAATTTTACCTGTATCAGGGCAACCAAATCCAGTAAATCTCAAAAGTATTCCTACTATGCTTAGTAAAAATCTTTCCAAAAGTCTTTGAGTAGAGTAAGTAGTAACAAACAGATGAGCAGGCAGGCAGACAGATACACGGTGAGACAAACGGGTGGTTGTGAAGCTCAACAATACCTCCCCTACATTCTGGCAAGAAGAATGACAAGCTGCAGTGCACACCAATACGCATCACCTAAGGGTTTCCACTAGTGTATTTCACATAAGTTTATCTAATTCAAGACGCTTAACATAAATTACAGTACTGTATAATTGGTGGTAAAGGAGAAATTTATGCCAGATGGACAGAAAGACAAAGAACTCTCTCCTTGTCCATTCTGGTAAGACTGGTGAGGATCAATAAGAGAAAGTAAGTGATGAAACTTAATGTGCACTTGCAGGTAATCACATAAGTCTTACCCAACCCTTCTTTAAGATCTTGAATGTGGATCAGGTGTTCTTGGATTGATCTATTGTATTTAAATGATCAGCCACTACTATAAGTTTGAAAGTATTTGACCATACTATCCTCAAGATACTGCTGGGACAAGATATATTGGAGAGAAAAAAAAAATTAAATAAATAAATATCTCACTAAAGTCACCCTATTGACTGTCAACCCAAGAAACAGATTTGCAGAGAGTTGGTCAATCTGTCATGCCAAGACCCCATACTAATCTAACTCTTCTCATCTGTGAATATAACATTACACAACTATAAGAAAAAGAAAAAGAATAAAGGTTGTTGCCCTTTTTTAACACATGCAAATCTATGTCTGGGTAAACAGGGTTAATATTCTGACAATAAATGGAGGACTGAAGCGTAATATTTTATTTTATGGCCGGGGAAGACTACTGGGAAATCTGGCAAGCACCTCACAGGCTAGTCTACCACAGTCTGTTACAGCATTTACTTGATAGTTGGTGACTTTATCTAAATGGGCACTGTATTGCTGCAAGTGATAATCATATTACAATCTTCCCTTCTGGTCAAATCCAAACGAATATCCAAGAAACCAACTGCTGTCTCTAGAACCAGTAGGGCTAATCAGGTTTGCAGTTTTCAACACTACATCTCATACTGCTTGAACCTATTTCAGCCTTCAGTTCTTGACCAACTTGAGGAGCCTTAGTTTACACAGTAGGGAAGGAAATTAGGTCGCTCTAACATCTATTCAACTATAAAAATGGGATATTACACTGCAATCATCCATTTACAGTCTGCAGTTCCACTTAAGATATTGTGAGACCTAAACTAGCCTGGGGAGAGCTCTTAAGTGTAGCCTAGTACTGTACACTATTTTCACACAAATAAAATTAATCTAGGGAATGTTAAGATATTAACAACAACAATAATTTGGGGATAACACTGAGAAAGCAAGAATCTGATGGAGTCTGGATCCCAGTATCATTTGGTTGGGGAAGACAACAAGAAATATGACATAATTAAACATACACATGACTAGCTTTAAAAACAACTTGAAAAAGAGTGAAAAATTCAAGAGTGAGGGCTGGCAGACAACAAGAGTTGCACAGTGATGATACTGCACACAAAAATTAACATATGAAAAGGACTTTAATAGCACAGTAAAAGGGAACTTAGTTTTTGAAGATAATATACTGCTTGAATAACCTAACACATACATCATAAAAATGCCCAGTCTTGATAATTCAAAATTAAGGAAACACAGAACAAAGTAGAACATTTCCAAAAGCATTTCAGTTACCCGGTAAGCATAAATACACCAACACAGTTAGAAACACCTGGGAAAAGAATTAACCATCTGATTTGCATAAAATACTAAATAATAATTTATACATTGTTACTTTCTCAAACCGACAAAGATAAGTAAGAGTAATGATAACATTACTAGGGTACACTTAATATCATGTGAGAAAACACCTTCCAAAAAATACTCAGGGTGTGCCTCAAGCTATAAATACTGGAATAATGACTACAAAACCTGGCAAATGTGTGGAAATGCAAACATCCTTGATGATGCCCACGATGGCTGCAATAAATCACATACCTCCATATACAATACATATACTTCACCTACACGAAACAATAATTTCTTCTCCAAAATGCAAGTTTTAGAGTACAACAATCTAAATCAGACTTAACATATTTTTTTTGTTTATTCAACCTAATCATGAATTGTCACTAATTAATATCTGCTATGATAGTTAAGAAAACCTAAATTAGAAAAACCTATACAGTATCAATTCTTAACTTTAGCCTCAGTTGTTGAAAATAACATGAAACAAAGGTGAGGCAAAAGGTGCACAAGTGATCCCTCTGCCTGAACCCTAATCGTGGACCTCTCTGAACTAGATTTTTGCTGAACTCACCCAAGGGGTAAGGATATAGAGGTACTGTATTCCTTTTTACTAAATTTGATTAAAACTCAATCACATTTGGTTAAGTTACTGAATACACATAGAAGGTCACAGAGGGGTAGACAAACAGATGGTAGGGCAGATAGACAGAATTGTTTGTTGTATCCCCTCCTTTGTGATGGGGGAGTTACTACATATGAATAAAGATCAAGATTTAAGACGAAATATATAGACACTGGATTTTACTCTGGGAAAACCTTAAACCATACTGTACATCAAGTTATCAAGGCCTATACTGTAAGTACTAATAAAGGACAAATTACAAGTTATCAACAATTCTCTAATGATATACCAAGAAACTCAATAAACCTGTTGCTAGTAATGAAATTTATTAAATATGAAATTACAACAACCCAAATATACAGTTTCTAATCCTTTTTAATGATACATGTTTTACAGTTGTTATTCCCTCACTGAACCAATTTCTTTTTAACTTGTTGAACACAAAAAGAAATGATCTCAGTCTACCCAAACCCCTGAGCTACAATCTCTGCTCTGTCTCACCTTGATAACAAATGTGTTTCTAAGGTCTGGCATCTCCAAATCAGTAGTCTCCCTTGCCTCATTTATTGATATGCAGAATACACCAGTACGGGGCTTCATACTCTGAAAGAGGGTTCTTTATAAGCATAAAATCTGAAGTGAATACTAATACAGTAACAAGGATTGAAAATAAAGACGTAATTCGGAAACAAAATAGTTCATTGCTTGGGGTGTGAAAAGAAAAACTTATAAAGTTTTTGGTAACCTTCGACCCCTGTAAAATGCGGCTGAACGATGCACAAAATTAATATTTTTAGGGTTTTTGATCTCTGACCCCTTATAACCCTTAAAATAACCAGTCACGGTACAAGTCTGTCACTTATTAAACTAATTAGTCCAGGTATGAAAGAATGATGATTTAATCTTATTAGTTTGCAAAAAGAAGGTAAGAAAAACCAAGACAAACAATACTCCACCTCCTCCCTGGATGACAAAAGTGGCTACATTAACTGGTAAGAACACTAAATAAGTATACTTCAGGGACTTTGTTTATAAAATGTGTTACTGAATAGCAGCTTGCAGTTAATGAAGAACCAGGTACAGTACAGGTCCTTGCACCGTTACATTATAGAGTTTGTCGTTCATAAAATACACCCAACTAACCTAACCTAAAATACTATGGCTATCTTCTATATTTAAAAGAAAGACAAGATGAAAGTTGCATTCCTTTGTTCCTTGTGCTGTTGGCACAATTCTTTGGTCGGATCACTGCAGAACCAACAGTTATATACAGGTGATCTTTAGATGCTGAGAGGAAGATTATGTGGAAATCACATATGGTAATAATATTTAGGCGAAGTTTAAATTTATGTTGATATGTTAGATTAAATATGTTGTATTATCAAGTGATTTAGGAATTTCCCAGACTTGTCAAATGTAAACAAAAGCACTTATAATTTTAGACCCATTAAATACAAGAGTAACAGACGACCTAATATGAAAATACAAAGTTTTATATATAATACAGAATAATCTTGTAATTGAATGATGACATTTGTGTTTATAAATGTTATTCTACTACCCTTCCTTTTCTTTGCATTGTATTAACAAGACATACAGTACACACACCTTAGGAGGTGCATAAAATTCAAGCATATGTCCAGCAGCGACTTTAACAAGAGCCATGCGACACTTCAACCAATGTGGCCGGCCCTCCTGAGTGTCTCCAGCTAAGAGGTGCACGGTTCCCTCCCGTACGCACTCCACGGCCAGCTTCACCGTGCGGGCCTTGTGCCGCTCATTCTTCAACTGCTTGTCGTGGTGGGGAGATAACTCCACCTCGTCAGAATGCTGTTTTAAGAATATTTTACCCTTCTTCAGTCCCTTAAAAGACAGTCTCCTAAAGAAAGGCTTGTGAGACACTTTAGGGGACGGGGACTCGCCCCCCTCGTCACTAACTACTGCTGTCACCTCCAGAATGTCATCAGCCGAGGCAGACCTTGTAGTGGCCACACTGCCAACACCATTACGGACCTTTACACCGTTGGGAGGATTAAGTAATGCTTGTTCTAAATGCCCTGGAAATAGCTCCGCAAACTTCTGAGCCAGTTCCTTGTGTTCCAACTCCCTGAACTGAGCTTGGAGTGCCACAAACACTCTCCAGGACTTAACGAAGTCGGCGGCGGCCACCCTGGCCTGGTTATCACAGAACTCCTCCCAGTCAGTCCGTCGGTCCTCGGCCTCCGTGTCCACCGCAGTAGCCATGGTGGGGCTTTGTCATGGCCTTTTTCCGGCGTCAGCTAGGAATAAATCCCTTAGGCCGTACACTGGACACCATCCTGTGTGTTGCCTCAGGTCTCCATCTTGCCGCAGCTCTCAGTGTTGTTTACATGCCAACTACCAAACGAGCTTCTTAACAATAAGTACCACAGAAATTCTAAAACTTCAAGTAATATTAAAACAAAGGTGTAATACTAACTCATTTAATTTTATACATAATAATTAAGTAGTGCTAGATTATATTTTATCAACAAACATATATTAGCCCAAAGAAAAGTCTCTCCTTTGACCTAACACTCTGGGCCAACCATCTGTGGCGGGAAACAGATAATTCCTCTCAACTCTCCATAGTTTGGTCTATAGTTTATTTCAACAATGAAGGAAATACGATTAAAAATTAAGATATATATTAACATTTCATAAAATCAATAAATACCAAAACAGTTCATTTAGAATCGCTGTAACAAGACTTATACTTGTATGGGTGTGCAGTACTGGCTAGGCCTACTGTACGGACTATAGGTTAACCCATACACAGTACACAGTGTTTTATCTCTCATGAGTACACCCTGCTCCACTCTTCCCTTCTCTGCTTCAAGCCCTGCAGGAGCTTCTTGTGCTGTTCCCTCTGCATTACCCTGCGATCTGGGTTACTGTACAGGAATATGAAAATGCAGCAGGAGTCAGGTGTTTTACTGAACTTACGCAAATGGTTTTGAATACTCATGCATCGCCATTAAGTAATGCACCCTTATTTTGTGAAACAAATCATGCAATATGACAAAACAAAAGTTTTGATAGAGCCCTCGTAGCGATTGGTGTGCCCGTTCTCGTTGTATTATGATATAAGATTATTTATTATATACCGCATCTAGGCCTAATAATTAATATGATCATGATTAATTACATAACATTTGAAAATATGAGGGGTTGTCCTTATATTTGACCTTTTTAGAAAATTGTTTGACCTGCTCTAGAAATACAAACCTGGTACCTGGCCCTTTGGTCAGGTCGAGGCAGTACTATACTTGATCTCTTGTTCTACCACTGCTTGTATAATCTTCTCTCAAATATTTATTTCGAATAATTGTTTGATATTGTTTGTATATCTGCATTGTACATAAATATTAAATCACGGTACAAGTGTGTGAAGAATATGTAAGTTACTCGTATTGTGTTACTTCAAAGAAAACTCAACGAGCTCTTCTGTCTACCGTACACCCTCCCTCTGTATATGTTAGTATTTTAGATTTATTGTTCCTTTTTATCCTCTCTGTGACAAAAAATATTTTAAATACGTATATAAATTAAATAATAAACAACTTTAATACCCACATAGCTGCTGCCAACGCCTATTATGAGGAAATCGATGACTACAGAGGATAGTGTCTCCTGGGGTCTTCCTGAGGCAGTAACACCACACCACACTAGCCGTCAGACAATCGAAGGAGGTCCGTAGCCGTCAGGGACCTCAAACTTACAGCTAAACAAGGTAAATATCATCCCAGAAGTGTTTATAATACTGTCATTGTGATCATGTTTGTTTAGAGACTTAGGTGGGATAGAGGATTGATGTGTGGGATGGGAGTGAGTGTAGTGACAGGTGTGGAAGGGTGGGTGGCTGCCCGTTGGTCTCTGCCCCACCCCATGTACTGTACTGTAGCTTTCCATCTATTATTGAGATAGTCATTGTTTTTGAGAGATACTAACGGGCACTTAAGTAATTAATAACTGATGGTTTCAGAGAGTACAAGGTGATTTAAAACAGTTTCGCCAATATTAATTCCTGAATGGAGTGATGACCTCATCCTCCGGTGTTGCTGATATAATGGCGACCAGTTATTATACTCTTTTATTCTTCAGTTGTTGATTGTAACGTTGATTCTTCTATGTGAAACTACTATTTATAATATACCTGTAAGTATTTTAATGGAAACTCTTGAAAGTTAAAAACAATTCCTGGTAATATTGGAGGAGAAAGGCAAGAGCTCGGTCAAGGTTGTCAAGTGATATATTACCATAACTTTTAGCAAATACGAAAGTTTTATACATATGTAGATAATGGAAATGACGTCAACATAATAATTAAGTGTAATATTAGACGTTATATATCGTATAAGTTAGAAATAAAGTTTTGTGGCTTGAGGAAGGTAATTGGTGGAAGAGGTGGGTGGGGTGGGGCGAGGATTGTTCCGGTTGTTGAATCTTAATTTTACGTTACTTTTTACTGCAGTTGTGAGGTGGCTGTATTGTAGGATTACTGTTAAACTAAAACTAAGTGATAATACTGGAGGAAACAGTGTGAAATAAGTTGATAATTTAAGAGTAAAAGATGAGATAAAATAAGATGTAAGGTTTGTCCACATAACAAGTGAGGTAAGTGCCAGAATTAGTGCCGGGTGGAGACAATTTGGGTGTGGCCTCTAACTTGGTGGTAAGGATTATTGTTAAAGCAGCACATGTGTTTATGGGACAGTTTAAAAGAAATTGAGACTATGAAATGTGATTTTTGTAAGTATAATGCGGTGAGGGGAAGTTTATTTTTGTACATAGCATCAGTTATATTTCAAATAGCAGTCCAGAAGGTATTTTTGTACATAGCATCAGTTATATTTCAAATGGCAGTCCAGAAGTAGCCAGGCTTGGTTGTTTTGTTACTATTGGGGATTTCATTATATATTTCCTGTGGTTGCTAATAATTCTGTTGCGTCCTAGGTAATAGTCTACAAGTGCTTGTTACTGTGATTCACTTGATAAAATTCTAAAAAAAAAAACTTGGGTCAATGTGGGAAAAATGGCACCAGGGATCTGAATATTGAGTCATATATGGTTAGATAGAGGAAAAATGAATACAAATTATTCTATAACGTTTTTGTCGGAAATGTATAATTTTGAGATAATTGAAATTTTTTTATTTAGCCATTCGGTGGTATTTTTTTTTACGTCGCAGTCTTGCTCGCGAATTAGTTTGAGTATTTATGTGACGTAATACTCGAGCGCCAATGAGAGTAACTTTCGATTCCTGCTCAGTTTCGAGATGGATACTGTGTGTGAGGGCTGTACATTGGCTGACTGGCGGGTTATTCACCGTGTTTTGGAGAATGATGCACCAGCCATTGATATTTTTAGGGCTTACAGTGTTCTTCCATCATCTGTAAAGTGTCCAAAATGTAAATCCCTAGTGTCAGTATCGTGCAGAACGTTATACATGGTACTGTAATAAGACAAACACTAGCAAGGTAAGGTGTATCTTCACTATGCCCCATTTCTGATAAAAAAAAAGTTATAGAAGAAATAATAATTTTTTTTCCTTATGGTTAGATTCTAACCATACAGTATATGACTCAATATTCAGATCCCAGGTGACATTTTTCCCACATTGACCAAAACTTTCAAATTTCAATAAAAGTTTTGAGGAATTGCAACTCATGTTTTTGCATTTATTGCTAAATAAAATAGATTTGATTGCTAGTTGAATTTGAAATGAATGGAGCTCTTGTATGAAGTATTGATCACCTCCTGTACTGTACAGGACTTTATTACTGGAAGTTAACAATGCAGAGGATGTGTGATACTGGATGGCTTTTAATTTAAATTTTATTTTCTAGCTGTTTTCTTACATTGCATGGTGATCTAGTTTTAAATTTTATCAGTGTAGAACTCACAGGTACAACTATCTTAGGTTAATATTCGTCCATTGGCTGTTCACAGGTTTCCAATTTTCAATATTAGACAAATACAGCATGCTCTGACACTTTGCGGATTTTTATTCACGGACCTCGATTATTCACGGATGACACCCTGAATGTACCCAAGAATGTCTAAGGGTAGTCTTAAAGTTGCCGGCATTTTCACGGCCGAGACTGGGAGCCATTCATTCTAGAGACAGTAATTTGTTTACCTGTGTGTATATGTGTGTCTATCCTCAAGTCCGCTCTGTGCTTTGTTACTGTGTGTGTGTGTGTGTAGAGAGACATACACAATACAGGTAAAATAAATACAGTTATTGTCCTAAGGGCAAACACATAAGGGAATATACATTTCTTTGCACAAGAGTAAACATGTACCCCCCCGTCAGCAAATGTTATTCACAGATTTGGCTGTTTGCGGATGTTTTGATAATCTAACCTCTGCGAATTTTAAGGGCATGCTGTACTGTAAAAAAAAAAATACAACTTCATATCTCACAAATTTCTAGGCATAAATTTCTGTACCCGCCGTGTTGCCAGTCACTTTTCTCATCCTCTCCTCCTTGCGACATGACGACCAATGATCTTCAAGTATCATGTCATGCGACTGGGCTGGCCAATCATTTTGAAGCAGCCATTTTGAAGGCTGAAGCAACCATTTTGAAGGCTCGTGATGGCATGTGATAAGTGCTCTCTTCCTTATCAAGCTGTTATTGAGCGAGTTTATCAGAGCAATAATGAAGCAATCCAAATATTACAAGATCATGGTGCCCTACCAACATCAAGACTGTGTCCTTAAAAAATGGTTAAGTTAGGATAGGTTATGTTAAGTAAGGTTATGTTTTTTATTTATTTTTTTTTGCTTTGTTTTATGGTGTGTTTTACTCAAACCTGACTGCCATTTTGGTGCAAATTATCAGTGTTTCAAATGTAAATGTAAAAAAAAAAAAAAAGGTAATTTGCACAAGTAATGGTCAGATTTGAGTAAAACACACCATAATACAACAAAAAACCTATTTTTGTATCAAAACCTGAGGACAGCCAATGGGCAAATATTTACCCAATCTTATCGTAATCTGTCTTATCACAAGCCAACCCACCGACACTTCATTCCATTAACTTGACTCATCACCCCTAGGAAGAATTAATCTACGAATTAACTGGCACTTTATTTTGTTCTGTACAGTAGTTTTTAGGGGATCACTAATTACAGAATCCCTCATTGTGTGGCCATTGTCAGACTGACTTCCTCCATTTGGTGGGAATTTTACAAGTGTGTTATGTACTTATACTTTCGTCTAAAGTATAGTGTACAGGCTGTTCAGACAATTTATTTGTAAAAATTTTGCTGCAAACACTTATCAACTTGCAGAACAGAATATATATATACTGTATCCATAACCTTTTCATTTTTTACAATATGTTTGGTATCTACAAGAGTAAAGTTGGACTTTCAAACAAGCCTCAGGAACGTAACTCGTTCATAGGTAGAGGAGCACCTGTACTTAGGCAGCACTCTTATTGGATAGTTTTGTAGTACAGTATTGTACTATACTTTCTACTTTAAAGAGAATTATGTATTTAAAATATTTTATTGGTGAATATGAAAGTACAGTATATTGGGTATACAGTATCTTATTATTTTAGATGTAGAAAAAATTAAATTGTCTTCATATTTTCAGATCTTGGACTTTAATTTCTTCAATCAAGTTATAATTGAACAAAAAGCCGTCAGATGAAATAAATGTTCAATTACAAAGAAGTGATTTTATAAGACATTGCCTTTAACATCTGCTTAGAAAAACTGAACTGTTAGCTGAGAATCAGTCGGGAGCCAAGATGGAGGGCAACGTTGTGGTGAAGGAGGTGCGGATCCTGGAGACCGCAGAGGATATTCAGGACCGTCGTGACCAAGTGCTCTCGAGGTACTCCCAATTTCGCTCTGATGCCCGCCTCAAGAGGGACAAGTTGGAAGATTCTCGCAGGTTTCAAGTAAGATTGGATGATGTCAATTTTTACTTGTAAATTCTCATTATGTATACATTTTTTTAATAAAACAATAAATTTGTCTGTTAAAGATCTTTTTGGAAGAAGGGTTGAACTCTGATTAAGATGTTATGCCTTGTGCAGGAAAGTGAATGATTGGCTGAAATATCTTGCATCGCAGCCTGTTTCTATTTGATGTCAAAAATTAAAATAATTAAAACTGTTATAAGAAAAGAAAAAGTTTATAAAGTTTAAAATTCAAAATTTGATTATATACAGGCAGTCCCCGACTTAGGACAGGGATACGTTCTTGGGTCCATAGATTAGGTTAGGTTAAAGCCCATACAAAACAACAATAATATCCCATACATAACAAATAATGTAAGTACCTGTACTGTAAATAAAGTGATGTTAAACAATATAATATAATGAAAATAATGTAAAAAATGGGATTACAATTATAAATTTTTGCAATTAATGAATTGGGATCCCGTTCATAAGGGTGATCGTAAGTTGGGAGGGTCGTAATTCGGGGACTGCCTGTATATAATATTACTTTAAAAATCATAAGCAGTAGAGTACCCCTATTGCAGTTAGAAATGGCGAGAAAACAAATGTACAAAATACCCTGTACTGTGTGTGTGTCATTATACCATGATAGATTTTTCAAAATAAGATGTAGCTACAGTACTGCATTAATGAAAGTATACCATCCTTGCTAATGGCCCTGATGGCTTGTTATATTGAAAGGCATCTGAGGATTTGTGGGCCTAACCTAACCTTCTGGTTCTTAAAGTCAACGTCTGAATTGCATTTTCAAATTTATGTATGTTGCTACTTGAATGACTATGGTATACTAATAGGTAGATGATATTGATACTGTGTGAATTATTTTGAATGGGAATGTTGAGTTCTGGGATATACGTACTGAAATAAATACTTTTACTTGTTGCTCATGTATATATTTTTTTCTTTGTGATTGTCTAGTACTTTAAACGAGATGCCGATGAACTGGAATCCTGGATCCACGAGAAACTGCAGGCTGCCTCTGATGAGAGCTACAAAGATCCCACAAACCTGCAGGCCAAGATTCAGAAGCACCAGGCTTTCGAAGCTGAGGTGGCGGCACACTCGAATGCCATTGTAGTCCTGGACAACACCGGCTCGGAGATGATCAACCAACAGCATTTTGCTTCAGACATCATCAGACATAAATTGGGTCAGTATTTTTATTTATTTGTTTATTTTTCTATAGTTGAACTTATTTTTTTTACTATAATTGGCTTCATAAAATTTTTTGAAAAATCACTAGGGAATTTAACATTTTACATTGCCTTATGTGGTGGCTGTTGCTTTTCTTAGAAAGTTTGGTTGTTCTCTGAACTGATGGACTTGTGAAGTACACTGTGGTTGTAAAATACTCTATTGCTAAATTAATTAGGAAGAGGTAATAATACTTTACTTATCAGATTAGGAAGTGAATTTCCCAGTGTGCTTCCAGCCGTATGGCATCTGTCAACCATTTCAGTGTGATTGTGAATAATGGTTTAATTTATATAATATTAAGACCTGAGGGCTTGTGTTCATCCGTCCGTGACAGTTGAATTAGGTTTTATATTTTGTTGTAGAAATGCTGCACAAAGAACAATACTTTTTAAAAGAAACAAATGTTATTTATTTTCTTCAGATGAACTTCACCGCCTGTGGGAGTTACTGCTGAGCCGCCTGGCAGACAAAGGTATGCGCCTGCAACAAGCCTTAGTGTTGGTGCAGTTCCAGCGCCAGTGTGACGAAGTTATGTACTGGATCAATGACAAGGAAACTTATGTCACCTCTGAAGAATTTGGTGTAGATCTGGAACATGTGGAGGTTCTTCAGCGTAAGTTTGATGAATTCCAAAAGGATATGGCTGCCCAAGAATACCGTGTCACAGAGGTCAACACTCTTGCCGAGAAGCTGGTGACAGATGGGCACCCGGAGGTAGAAGTAATCACCAAACGAAAGAAGGACCTGAATGAAGCCTGGCAACGCCTGCGCCAGCTTGCTCTCACCCGCCAGGAAAAACTGTTTGGTGCCCATGAAATTCAGCGTTTCAACAGGGATGCTGATGAGACCATTGCCTGGATTGCAGAGAAGGATGTTGTGCTCTCCTCTGATGACTATGGACGTGACTTGGCATCAGTGCAAACACTTCAGCGTAAGCATGAAGGTCTAGAGCGTGACCTGGCTGCCTTGGAAGACAAAGTGTCAACCCTTGGAGAAGAGGCCACTCGTTTGTGTGGCATCCATTCAGATCATGCTGAACAGACAAAGTCAAAGCTAGCAGAGATTGAACATTCCTGGTCCACACTTACAGCTAAGGCTCAGGAACGACGACGACGTCTAGATGACTCGTACTACTTGCACCGTTTCCTCTCTGATTTCCGCGATCTCATCTCCTGGATCAATGACATGCGTGCCATCATCTCTGCTGATGAACTTGCTAAGGATGTGGCTGGAGCCGAGGCTTTACTTGAACGCCATCAGGAGCACAAGGGTGAGATTGATGCCCGGGAAGACAGCTTTAAGACGACCCACGAAGCTGGTGAAAAGCTGGTAGAGAAGAATCATCATGCCTCTGAAGAAGTAAAGGAGAAGCTTAGCACTCTCACTCAGGAGAAGGCTGCTCTGCTTGCCCTGTGGGAAGAGCGTCGCATCCTGTATGAACAGTGCATGGACTTGCAGCTCTTTTACCGGGACACTGAACAAGCTGATACCTGGATGGCCAAGCAAGAGGCTTTCCTTGAAAATGAAGATTTGGGAGATTCTATTGATTCAGTTGAAGCCCTGATTAAGAAACATGAAGACTTTGAGAAGTCACTCGCTGCTCAAGAGGAGAAGATTAAGGCTTTAGATGAATTTGCGACCAAATTAATTGAAGGTCAACATTATGCTGCAGATGATGTTTCTCAGAGACGTGAGATGTTACTGGAACGTCGCACGGCCTTGCTTGACATGTCTGCCCGCCGCCGTACCATGTTGGAAGATTCTTACCGTCTCCAACAATTTGAGCGTGACTGCGATGAAACTAAGGGTTGGATTAATGAGAAGCTGAAATTTGCTACAGATGACAGTTACTTAGATCCAACTAACTTGAATGGCAAGGTCCAAAAACACCAGAACTTTGATCAAGAGCTCAGTGCTAACAAGTCTCGTATTGAGGAAATAACATCAACCGGAAAAGAGCTTCTCGATGCAGATCACTATGCTAGTGATAAAATCAGTAGTCGCATGGAGGAAATTGTTCAACTTTGGACTTCACTTGAGGAGGCCACTCGCAGGAAGGGATCCAAGCTTGAGGAAGCATCACAGCAGCAACAATTTAACCGTGGTGTTGAAGACATTGAGCTCTGGCTTTCTGAGATTGAGGGTCAGCTTATGAGTGAAGACTATGGTAAGGATTTGACTGGTGTTCAGAACCTACTTAAGAAACATGCTCTTATGGAAGCTGATGTTGGAGCTCATCAGGACAGAATTGATGGCGTAAGAATTGCTGCTGATCAGTTTGTTGACCGTGGACACTTTGATGCTGAGAACATTAAGGCAAAACAAATGACTCTTCAGGAACGTTACAATGCTCTGCAGAAGCCAATGACTGTCCGTAAACAGCGCCTCAAGGACTCCCTTCTGGTGCAGCAATTGTTCCGTGACATTGATGATGAAGAGGCCTGGATTCGGGAGAAGGAGCCAATTGCAGCTTCAACAAACCGTGGCCGAGATCTTATCGGTGTACAGAATCTAATCAAGAAACACCAGGCTGTTCTTGCAGAAGTAAACAATCATGAACATAGAACTGTTGCAGTTACAACATCAGGAGAGGAAATGATCAATGATGGTCACTTTGCTGGGGAGGAGATTAAACAGAGAGTCAACACTTTGAGCCAACACTGGGCTCAACTGAAGGAACGAGCAACTCAGCGCCGTCAAGACTTGGAGGATTCCCTACAGGCTCACCAATACTTTGCTGATGCCAACGAGGCCGAGTCATGGATGAAAGAGAAGGAGCCTATTGCTGCTGGAGGAGACTTTGGTAAGGATGAAGATTCAGCTGAAGCATTACTGAAGAAGCATGAGGCCCTCATGAGTGATTTGGAGGCTTTCAGCTCAACCATTGCTGCTCTAGATGACCAAGCTGCTGCCTGTCGTCAACAGGAAGTTCCTGTTATGGATATAACAGGAAAAGAATGTGTGGTGGCTCTGTATGATTACACTGAGAAATCTCCCCGAGAAGTGTCCATGAAGAAGAATGATGTTCTGACCCTCCTTAATGCCACAAACAAGGACTGGTGGAAAGTAGAAGTTAACGATCGTCAAGGCTTTGTCCCTGCAGCATATGTGAAGAAGATTGATTCAGGTCTCACGGCATCTCAACAAAATTTGGCCGATGGCAACTCCATTGCTGCTCGCCAAAGCCAGATTAAGGTGAATTAAAGTTTTGTTTTGATAACAAATACTTATATTTTGATGTTAATTCAGGAAGTATATTGCTATACTGTAGAATATAGGTATTTTCTACTTTAGCTTAAACGTTTGATTGCTTAAAGCTTGTGTATAAAAACTAGGTAGATGTGGATTAAATAGAAAATGTAGGATTTTTATTTTTGTGAAGCTTTTGAGGCTTGAACTTCAGCATCCCTCAATTTGGAAACTGTTATTGGTTTCACTGAAAAACTGTGTAAGTTCAGCCTTAGTAAATTGTGTATGATCAGTGTTATGTAATTACCTCAACAGGGTCAGTATGAGAACCTGATGGCCTCAGCCCGTGAGCGCCAAAAGAAGTTGAGTGAAACGGTGCAGGCATACGTGCTCGTGCGTGAGGCTGCCGAGCTGGCACAGTGGATTAAGGACAAAGAACAACATGCACAGATTGAGGATGTAGGAGAAGACCTGGAGCAGGTGAGCTAAAACAGTTACCTACTGTACTGTAGGTATTGGCAAAAAAAAATGCAATTAGAAGATTAAAATATCCTGAAGGGGGCTCCTGCATATTTCCCAAATTTTCTTACTCATGTATAGTACTTCTTTTTCAAGTATATTTCCTTTGTTTGATTATTTATACTACACCCTCCTGTCTTTCCAATTTCCTTTCCATGAAATTCATTTCAGATTGGATAATCTAACATCAACTTTGGTGGAATGAATAACATGATTTGAATCCAAGTTCCATTACAGAATCATTACAAAATGTTTTGGGTAAAATGTTCTTAAATGATTTAGCTTCCTTGATTAACTTGTGTGTCTTTTGACATAGGTTGAAGTACTGCAGAAGAAGTTTGATGATTTCAAGACAGACCTACAAGCTAATGAAGTTCGGCTGGCAGAGATGAATGAAATTGCTATGCAGCTCATGAGCCTTGGCCAGACTGAAGCTGCTCTCAAGATCCAGACACAGATTGAAGAACTCAACACCAAGTGGAACTCCCTCCAGCAGATGGCACAGGTAAGGAAACAAGTGTTACTCAGATAATATTGATACAGTACAAGGTTACAGAATAATTTAAGAAATTAAAGTATACTGTATTATTTTTATAATTTATTGTGAGTCACTTTATTTTTTTGGTACATATTCATTATTGCCTTAGTCCTTGGTTCAGGTTAATATCATCACAGTAACTCTTGTCTCAGTAGCTGCCATGGGAAATGCAAAGAATATTAATGGAAGATTATAGAGTACTGTCATTGTCTTATGATACTGGTACTTACGGTAGTTTCTAACTTTCCCTTCAATGGTGGATAAATTTTATATATCAGATATACCCTTTGGTTAAACCTGTTGGAATTAATTGTTCCTCTCTCAGACATGACCAACCTTGTTTTTTGTTCTGACCCTCCCCAAAAATTCCACTGAGAATTAGAACTGACTCAATTGTTTGAATGCAAAGGCACTGGAAAACAGAAAAGTTAAGCACAACTGGCATAAATATTTGAAGCTACTTTTGTCACATCTTTATATACTTGGTGTACAATCAGGTTCTGAATGTCAACCAGGTTTCATACAATAAACTTCGATATATTTATTTACCTGACAACCATGTATTGTAGGCTGTCTCTGGAAACCAACATTTCAGTTGCTCTTTATCTTCATCATTATCCCTATAGGAGAGGCAGTTCCAGCTTGGGTCTGCTCATGAGGTTCAACGTTTCCACCGAGACGTAGATGAGACGAAGGACTGGATTCAGGAGAAAGATGAGGCACTTAACAACGATGACTGTGGCAAGGACCTGCGCTCTGTACAGGCTCTTCAGCGCAAACACGAAGGTAGTCAATCACTTTAATTTTACTTGCGTCATTCCCTTGGAAATTATAGACCTGTGTGTTATGGCCCATGTGTTCTATTTCTCTGATACATTGGGTAATAGTTCACTGTATTAAAGTCTTGTTTTTTCTGTAAAATCATGAGTTGTTTGTATTTGGTAGGAATTTTACTGATGTGCCAAATTATGGACTTACACTATTGTATCGGCTTCAGAATATTGTCTTAAATATGAGTCATTAAACAACTTTATTGCTACGAATCAGTCAACATAATTTCTTCTCCGTCACATTATACAAGTGTAGATTTTTTCACCACCCAGATTGGGTTGAAGGTGAATTTATTGTACATTAGGCTTTACTGAAAAAATTAAATGTGTGATTTTTGTGTTAAAAAGTTAATGGACTGTATAGCATTTAAGTAAGAAGAGTTTATTAAAAATTCAATCTGTTTTCATCCTTTGTTACTTGTTATATATACTGTATGTATTAATTTACAGTAAAGTAGTCTTACATTTTAATTTTGTGTAGCATGTTCACTCATGGTTAATGTGTCTGATATTATCTCTAGGGTTGGAACGTGACCTTGCTGCCTTGGGAGACAAAATTCGGCAATTGGATGAAACTGCTAATAGGCTCATGCAGACCCATCCTGAAGCAGCTGACACCATTTATGGCAAGCAGCGGGAAATCAATGAGCTGTGGACTCAGCTGACAGCCAAGGTAACTCTCTATTATGGACTAACATTGGCCAAAATAAGTGTAATTTAACTTCTAAATTATCTTATATTGGTAACTGTATTTTCTGTGATGAATGAATGTATTTATATAGGTTGAGGGTTTGGATTTAGTCTGCAAGGAATAGATACAGTTTGCCTGGATAATTTGCGGATTTTTATTTCGTGGTCCTCTATTATTCGCTGATTACACCCTGGATGTACCCAAGAATGTCTGTGGGTAGTTTTAAAGTTGCCGGCATTTTTGCGGCTGGGACGGAACTATTTGTTCTAGACAGTAATTTCCTTTACCTGTATTGTACAGTATATGTGTGTGTGTGTGTGTAGACACACACACAAAAAACATACAAATAAATAATAATGGGAAAATCCTCTCACTAATAATCAGAAACAAATTTTATTAAAAATGTGAGTCTACTCTCAAGTCTCGTCTGTGTTTTGTTATTAATAAAGCACGGAGTAGACTTGAGGGTAGACTGGCACAATTTTAATAAATTTGTTTGATTGGTTTCTGATTGTATACGTGTGTGTGTGATACACACAAAACACTTAAAAATAATAATAATGGGGAAATTCTCTCACAAATAATCAGAAACAAATTTATTAAAAACGTGCCAGTCTACCCTCAAGTGTTATTCGGGGATTTGGCGATTCGAGGCCATTTTGGGAACCTAACCCCTGTGAATTTGAAGGGCTTAATGTATTTTGTATTCGACATAAGGTGATGGGGATGAGGTGAAAGATAGAGAAGGGATGAAGGCTTCATTCCAGCTTAATAAAAATTGCTCAATACAGGAAGTGAAAGCTTTAGTCAATTGAAAATGACACATGTACAGTATTATGACCCATTTATCACTGGTGATGGGCCCCTAATATTGAGAGCCTTGAGAGCAATGCAAAAATTTCTTAATTTTAATTCAATTGTATTGTATTTCTATTTAATGTATTGGTAGAGTAGAGAAGCTTTCCACCAGACTTCAGCTAATGTGGTTTGGAAATTTCTATATTCCAACACTGGTCAGATCCCAAGGGTGACCGGTTAGAGGGGTTCAACCTGTATATGACGTTCATGCTTCACCTGTTCTTCATACACACCCTGTACAGTATATATTTTTCAATTATTTGATTTGTACAAAAAAACCATATTTTTTTCTTCCAGGCAAATGCACGAAAGGAAAAGTTGCTCGACTCGTATGACCTCCAGAGATTCCTCAGTGATTACCGTGACCTGAGCTCCTGGATTGCATCCATGATGGGACTAGTGAGTTCGGAAGAGCTGGCTACTGATGTCACTGGGGCCGAGGCACTTCTAGAGAGGCATCAGGTAATGTTATGGGTTGGAATTATTATTATTTTTTTTGACTGTATGAAGAAGTGCAGCTTATTATAAAACTATATGCTGTACTGGTAATGTTCATCACTTTTTTGATTATCTCAAACTGATCTATATTTTAGTCAGGGCATCTCTTTTATCAGTTTAAGTCCTCTCAGGTTAACAGTTCTTCCAATGTACTTTTATCTGTGATGCATTTTTGATTGTAAAGTCAGTCCCTGAACATATAGTTACCTGTATTAGGTATCCAGCACTGATGCCACACTTACACAGAGGTCCTGTAGTTTTTGAGTTTAGGAGGTGTTATATTTTAATTTATTTTTTGGCAGATTTATTGTTATACAATTCTGATTATATTGCTTATATAACAGTGTGGTTGTCAGTAGAGTATTATTTTCTTAGATAATGTTTTGTAAATAGTGTACAGTACAGTATTGGTTTTATTTTCATGAATTACTGTGAGCAATGTAATTATCCCTGGATACTTTAGACAAACAACTGAGAATTGAAACTGCTGGTGAAGATGTAATTTTTTGTGTGTTTGTGGATGAGAGGATCCAGTTTATAAAGGGTATTTACAACCTCCTTTTTATCATTAAGTGAACATCATAGTATTCATTACATGTAAAATTTTTACTATGAGTAATCCTCTTATCTACAAACCTAAACTAGCTAAGGGAATAGTCTAAGTGACTCCTCTCATGGTAACACATCACCCTTCCTTTTTCTAGAGCTTCCGAGCCGAGTTTGACTCTCGCTATGGTATACCCCAGGTACTGAGTCTTGTTGTAGGTTGTCTCACAGCACACACCACTGATTTGTTGTGATACTGCGTGTTTCCGGGGCCACGGGTAGTGTTTTAGCTTTACCATCAGTAGCTGCTCAGTACTAATAATTCGCCTGGCACTGCTGGCCACGATATTGTAGTTATCCACTTGGGAGAGCATTTCCTGCCCGGCAATGTTTCTTTATTTACTTATCTTTTGATATTGAAACCCACACATGAAGGAAATAGTGGGAGTATTTTAACAAGTCTTGTATTGACAGTTTATTAAGTCTTTTGTAAATGTGCTCTTCATATTTTGTTTGGGTATCCTATACGTACTGTACTGTAATCTCTTCTTGGTTTATCCGTAACCGTCCTGGACAATATATTATTTGTTTTTGTAAAATATAATTATATTCCTAGTTTAACATTCAAGAAATTTCAGCGCAGGAAATGTTTCTCTATTAATGTTGTCACTAATGATAGCATGATACTTATATACACTTTTAAGATATAAATGATTGTGCTCAAGAATATGGAATTACTCCTTTATGTACTTAGTCATCTGTATCAGGTGAATATAAAGGTTTGAGTTTATTCAGTACACAGGCCCCGTTTATGTGGACACTAAATTACATCACCCATTAAATCTTAGCAGGAGTATTGTTGGGTTGTGTGATGGACTTGTTCAATATCTGATATTAGGTTCATATCAAAATACTTTCATAGATGTGAGGATATGATGATTGATAAGTATTTTAGACCGTGTTTTTAATCACAGTGTGTTCGTAGAATTAGTGTGAGCAGTGTGCTTATATTAACAGGTGTATGTAAGAACTCGTGTATACTGTACAGTATTTACTTAGTGTGGACAATGTCTTGACTAACACAAGGATAAGTATCTTCTTATGATTGTAGCATGTTCACTGGTTATTTGTAGAGTTTGATGGTTTCACTCCTGCCTAAATTGGTTGATATTTAGTATTTTAGTGCCATTGTAATCATAGGGAGATTAAGTACTAATTCACATTAAAAAGTATGAAGTTTGTGTATTAAGCTGGAAAAGTTTGATTTATATTATAGTTTAAGAGAAAATTAAATTTGTTTTTATATTCTGAATATGAAACAAATTATAAGTTGGTCTCAATTCTATGTCATTACAGGTATAATATTTAACTGTCAATGTGTGACTTCAGTTCTGTGAGTGAGAGAGAGTGATTCAGTGGCCAAAGCAGATACAGTGCTGCGAGTGCAGCTAATTTGCTATTTTCAAGAGTTACGAGTTCTGATTTTCTTCCTTTTATCCCACCAGTGTGTAGGTTGCTCATGAAATATCTACATTGAATAACTTTTTGTACCTCCATTACCCCTAGCTAAAATATTTTGCAACTTTTTTCTCCATTGCTTTGATATTCACATTTAGGTCCTCGTACTATCAGTTACGTCTTTATATGTTCTTACCAGATTTATATTTTCCTTGTTAAATTAAGTATGTCTTAGTGTGTTCTAAATTTATATGAATTGCTTAGGAAGCTCCTCAGTGTGAGGTGATCCTGGATTATTTATTGTCTGTAAACTTTCACATTCCAGTCATCATATTTAGTATAGTGCAGAACACTGCATTCAGAGCTGTCCAGGGTAATAATTGTAACAATAATTGTTTTTTCCTTTGTATAAGAGAGCATCACAGAAGAGAAAGACATTGATCTTGAGAGACTAAAAAAATACAAGGTTATAGTATTTTTAACATTGAGCTTGTGAGAATTTCATGTGGGCTATATTGAAGTAGGCAGTTACAGAAAACAGGCTCGGGTGAGAGAGACAGCCTACTTCATTAGAGGGGAAAGTGGAGGAGCTAAAAGAAAAGCTCATTCTTATGGTGTGAGAAGAATTGAAGAGGTTAGGTAATTTTATTCAGCTCAGTAGTCAATCTTGCAGTCAATCAAAGTAACTCATTTGTACAACCATTGTAATTTAATATTTTGCATAATTTGTTTGTTTGTTGAATATTGATTTTAATAAGGATATTAATAATGGATGTGTTGATGCCACATTGTTAGTGAGACCTGATCAGATGGCAATGGTTTTAGTACTGAAGATGAAAGGTATGACACATTGACACTACAGCAGTTAATGTTATAGGTAACTTAGTTTGTTAAATACCGGTAATAAGAGCATAGACTTAAGACATAACATAACTCTCCTCCTTTAGTTGACACTCTTTCTTTTTCTTCCCATTCTCTTTGCTGCAATATTGCTTCACTCTCTCTTTTATAGGAACTTTAACGGGCAATGTTCAGTGGATTTGGCATCCTGCGTGCTGCCGGCAAGGCTGTGGGCTCGTAACACACGTTTTGCCTGCTGTGCCCACCATTTCTCTTTGGATGTCGGCCACACTAGAATAAACCGTTACAGTACATCCTTCTTTCCTCACACAGTCAAACTGTGGAATGCTCTGCCTTCTGTATTTCCACACTCATACAATCTGTCTCACTTTAAAAAGCTGGTTGTCCGGCATCTTCGTGGTGTAGGTTAATATAACCTTTCCCTTATCTATTTTTAATTTCTTTTTATTCTTATTTTTTTGCCCCCCTAAGCCCCTATGTGGGTCAATGACCTGTGCCCGGGTGGGCTACGGTACATTAATTTTGTTGTTATTTTTAAATCACTTAGTTGTACCCCCCTTTTTTATGACATAAAAATTTGGCTAACACTGGTGGTTTACTGATATAAAGTTTAATGGAATGATTAAATTTAATTTTAGTCTTTGGTTTTATCTAATGGGACTACTGTGTCAGTCAACCCTTCATTACATCGCAGTCAAACATTGTCACGTATTACTGTGTATCAGTCAACAAACAAGTGATCTTTACTGTACACACCTCCCCACCCACCCACACAGAATATACATCACTGTAGCACATGCACATGAAAAGTAATGAATTTTAAGCCTTAAACGGTGAGTAAATTTAAAAAAAAATTATACAGGAATTCAAAACTGTGGTAGACATAACACATGGATGAGATGTCAAAGCAGAGTAAAAGATATTATTGTAAGGGCTAAGGCACTGAAGTGGCCTTGGGCAGTCCACATTGATCGGTGAGAATAACAGAATCAAGAAGCTCTTCAACTGGATCCAGAAACACATGAGGAACCCCCTAGTAAACAGACTATCTGAACTGATATTGGGAAGTGTGGGAAGGTTATTGATTTTAGGCATAAGTTTAGAGGGAAAATGATGGAATCTAGAAACTGATGACACTTACCTTCTCGTATTCAGGAACACCGTACGGAGATTGATGCTCGTGCTGGAACATTCCAAGCCTTTGAACTTTTTGGACACCAGTTGCTTCAGTCTGGCCACTTTGCCTCTGCTGAAGTACAGGAAAAACTTGATGCTATGAACGAGGCTCGGCAGGATCTTGAGAGGTAGGTTGTCCAAGGAGGCTCATAATGTGGTTTTATTTTATTTTGTCTTCCTTACTGTTGATATAAGGATGAATTGGAGGCTAATGCATGTGCTGAGTTACTTTTATTTTAACTACCTGTCAAAATTTAGTCGTGTAATCCTATCGATAAAGGTGCCATGAAGTGTGCCACGTCTGGGAGGATGTGGTATATACCCTAAAAGTTGGTATAGTCTGTAACTGTGTTTGTCTACCTGATTTCCTTTGGGATTATCTTCTTAAAATCTGGGGAATAATTACTTATGTTTGGTATAGAAAATAAAGTACTGTCTCATTCCTCAGAACTTTGTCATGTGATGTAAAGATTTATAGAAACAAAGAGTTTATTAATGGCTATATTGTATTAGGTAATGATTGTGATTAGGTTGACCATATTCATTTTTACCCAGTTTCAGGTTTCAGTGTCTTACCATGATTCATATCTTCATGATACAGGGCTTGGATTGCCCGTCGCATGAAGCTGGACCAGTGTCTAGAACTGCAGCTGTTCTACCGTGACTGTGAACAAGCAGAGAACTGGATGTCATCTCGTGAAGCTTTCCTCTCTTCAGATGAAGCTGATGCCAAGGCTGACAATGTAGAAGCTCTCATCAAGAAGCACGAAGATTTCGACAAGGCCATCAACGCACAAGAGGAGAAGATTGCTGCTCTCAATTTGTTTGCTGATCAGCTGGTGGCTGCTGAGCACTATGCTAGCAAGGACATTGGTGACAAGAGGGGTCAAGTATTGGACCGTTGGCAGCATTTGAAGGAAGCTCTTATTGAGAAGCGCTCAAAGCTAGGAGAATCTCAAACTCTTCAGCAGTTTTCACGTGATGCAGATGAAATTGAAAATTGGATTGCTGAAAAGTTGCAGGTAGCAACTGAAGAGAGTTTCAAGGACCCAGCTAATATCCAGTCAAAGCACCAAAAGCATCAGGCCTTTGAGGCAGAGCTTGCTGCAAATGCTGATCGTATTCAAGCTGTACTTGCCATGGGTCAAAATCTTATTGACAAGCACCAGTGTGCTGGGTCTGAGGAGGCAGTACAACAGAGATTGGAATCTATCTCAGAACAGTGGGATTTCTTGACCCAGAAATCAGCTGAGAAATCTCTGAAGCTTAAAGAGGCAAACAAGCAGCGAACTTTCATTGCAGCTGTAAAGGACTTGGACTTTTGGCTGGGTGAAGTGGAGTCTCTCCTCACCAATGAAGATGTGGGCAAAGATCTGGCCAGTGTTCAGAATTTAATGAAGAAACATCAGCTTGTGGAAGCTGATGTCCAAGCTCATGATGACCGTATTAATGACATGAATGGACAAGCTGACTCATTAGTTGAAAGTGGTCAGTTTGACACCGCTAATATTCAAGAGAAACGCCAGAGTATCAACGAGAGATACGAGCGCATCAAGAACTTGGCTGCTCATCGCCAGTCACGGCTAAATGAGGCACTCACTCTTCACCAGTTCTTCCGTGACATTGCCGATGAGGAATCATGGATCAAAGAAAAGAAACTTTTGGTTTCTTCTGAAGATTATGGCCGTGATTTGACTGGTGTACAGAACCTGCGGAAGAAGCACAAGCGCCTGGAGGCTGAGCTGGCCTCCCATGAACCAGCTATTCAAGCTGTGCAAGAGGCAGGAGAGAAGCTGATGGGTGTATCCAATGTTGGTGTATCAGAAATTGAAGCCCGTCTTCAGCAACTATCTGAGACTTGGTCCCAGCTAAAGGCAATGGCTGAACAGCGTGGCCAGAAACTAGACCAGTCTTTGACATACCAACAGTTCTTGGCTAAGGTAGAGGAGGAAGAGGCATGGATCAGTGAGAAGACACAACTTCTGTCTGTTCCAGACTATGGAGATAATATGGCAGCAGCTCAGGGTCTCCTGAAGAAGCACGATGCCTTTGAAACAGATTTTGCTGTCCATCGTGACCGTTGCAGTGATGTTTGTGAAGCAGGCGCCAAGTTGGTGAGCGACGGTAACCACCACGGAGACTCCATAAAGCAGAGATGTCAGCAGCTGAAGGACAAACTGGAGGCCCTAAATGGTATTGCTGCCCGCAGGAAGAGCAAGTTGGCAGACAACCTGGCTTATCTGCAGTTCATATGGAAGGCTGATGTGGTTGAATCATGGATAGCCGATAAGGAATCGCATGTCAAGTCCGAGGAGTATGGTCGAGACCTCTCTACTGTGCAGACTCTGCTCACCAAGCAGGAGACTTTTGATGCTGGTAAGGGAAGCTTTTTTTCACTGATAATTTTTAGTTTGTATATGTTAAACCAGTGGTTTCCAAACTTTTTAACATGATGCCCCCTTATGCTTTTTGCCAAGTCCTCACGTTCCATATTTTTTATTATAATTATATTTTAGTATTGTTGAGGATCGGATAACTCCTGGAGAAAGATACGAGTAGTGTGAGAGTCATTATGGTATTCATGACATGTACAAGACGAGTAAGGAGAGAGAGATGAAATGATAGAAAACGGATAGGGGTGACTGCTATACTTTGGTTTTACACGGATTTGTGGAAGATTCAAACAGAGAGTGAGTTACTCCTGAAAGAGTTTCTTCATTTTATTCTTTTTGATAAAAAAATAGCAAATTTTGGCAGATGGCTTCACGCCTGCCCTGTACCCACCTCACGCCCCCCAGTTTGGGAACTACTGTGTTAAATCATTGTGTATGTTTTTATTCAAATAGTTTTTTGGATATTTTCATAATTTTTTTTATGCTTATGGATTTAAAGTTTCATTTTTTATTTTACAGGAATTTTGATAATTTGAGAAACTAGGTCTGTAAACCAGTAAGTGTCCCTTATAAGTGGAACAGAATAAGAGTCCTATGAGTTATATGAAGAAAATGGAAGCTAAATTGTCACGTTTTGTCCTTTAGGTTTGGCAGCTTTTGAGCATGAAGGTATCCAGAACATCACCACCCTGAAGGATCAGTTGGTGTCAGGTAATCACGAGCAGTCCGAGTCCATAATAAAACGTCACAGCGATGTTATTGCTCGTTGGAATAAGCTCCTCAATGACTCCCTTGAGCGTAAGAACAAGCTGCTAGTAATGCAGGTTAGTACTCTGGTGCCCATTGTGGGCCAAGTGTACTGGAAGTTTTATTGCAAGATAAAGTTTAAGTAAATTATGAAGGGTGGAGAATTAATGCACTGAATTTTACACTTACAGGAGCAGTTCCGTCAAATTGAGGAGCTCTATCTCTCGTTTGCTAAGAAGGCATCTGCATTCAACTCCTGGTTTGAGAATGCAGAGGAGGACCTCACTGATCCTGTTCGCTGCAATAGGTAACTTAAATGTCTATCATTTCCACTGGGTCTGAATATTTTATGGACACATTGCAGTTGTACTAGATAAAGCTAATACAGTATTACAGCCTTCACCCCTTGAGGTGTGGGTGTTAGCCCATAGCCAGACAGAATTGAAAATATGGCCTGATCCAGTCAGTTATATGAAAGCCCCAGAGTCCCAGACTAATATTTCTCTTGGTTTCCTTACAAAATATAGTTACATGCTGCCTTGCTCATATAGTAATGGTTTTTCTTTTGCAGCATTGAAGAAATCAAGGCACTCCGTGAGGCCCATGCCCAGTTCCAGGCTTCCCTGTCTTCTGCTCAGGCAGATTTTGAATCTCTTGCCGCCCTAGATCAGCAGATTAAGAGCTACAATGTTGGGCCCAACCCTTATACATGGTTCACCATGGAAGCCCTTGAAGATACCTGGCGAAACTTGCAAAAGATCATCAAGGTGAAGACTCTATTGTGGTTGTTGGCATTGTAGCTATAAACCCCATTGGCACTGATTTGATGAAAATGAGTAATCAGGTATGAGAGAGAGTCACTGAAATTGGAAAAGGCTCTTTGGAACCCGAGACTGCCTGCCTGATCTCGGGGACTAACCAGAAACCTAATTATCGACTTGTTTCACAAAGGTGTCAGTGGTTAATCTCTTATAAACTTAGTTTGTACTTTTAATGGCTTCCTATGAACATTGCATGAAGTAACTCACTGGAGGGAAATTTTTTGTGTTGATTCTGTATTCAGGATATCCTTAATTTCTGAAGATTATGGGATTGCATAATAAAGCAAAATGAAGGTGAAGTACTGTCCATTGTTTATGAAATGGAGGATTCCCTTATCCTTGAGTTTGGCATTCTCTTGATTCATTAATACCATCTTATGAAGGTTTCACTACATATCAACTTTCAACACGAGTAAAATGTCACAAGATGTGCTAAAATTGTGAGGATCATAAGTTGCTCAGTTGATGTATAATTAACCTTGCTATGGATAATGATTTACTTGTTATTACATTTAATTCTATTGAATTTAGAATATCTTCAGCAATAACTGTAAATTGTTGTTACTTGATGCTGTTTTGGAGGAAATTACATTTGTACAATACTTTGTATTTATTTAATACTGGAAGGTTAATAGACCAGACCAAACTGTCAAGAAGTTCACAAAGAAGAGTTCATGATGAATTTATGTAATGTGCTTTTAACTTTGCAGGAGCGTGATATGGAACTAGCTAAAGAAGCACAACGGCAAGAGGAGAATGACAAACTGAGGAAGGAGTTTGCCAAACATGCCAATGCCTTCCACCAGTTGCTGACAGATACCAGGTTGGGCAGATATACTCATCTTAAGCTTGGAAGTAGTCATGATGAATTGAGAATAGTAGAAATGATTGACACTGCCAGGGTATTTTTTTATAGTTGGCATTGGTCCATGGTCAGATATTTCTGTGTTTTTTTGAGGTAGACATCATGGTGCCCATTATGAAGTACTGTACAGTATAAACATCTAAGGGTCCCCCTTAATCTTTTAAAACCTGTAGATTCTCTTTGGGTGTATTTTAATTTTTTTTTTACTAATTGAACAGGATATACAGTTTTATAATCATATTAATTTTAAGCTTTGCTGCACTTCACAATGGACAAATAAGAGAATCATTGGAAGTGCAGGCAGTCTCATAGCCCCTTTATGTTAATGCCACATGGGCTGCTGCAGCCAGCTGTCTGCAGGCTGAGGAACTACAAGTAGTATTGGCCTTTTTAAAGTGTTTCACTAATCAGTACAATGTATCATATAATTGCCGACTTTTGGTTACCGTAATAATTTAATAATATTTTCTTTATCTGCTATGATTTTCTAATTGCCTATTATATAATTACACTAAGCAAACTTCAGATTGCATATATTTAAAATGTTTGTAAAGAGAAGGATGTGCCTCACATGTGCCATACAGTATAAAAAATCTTGCTTCATTGTTTGGCCTTATTTTAATTTATTGATGTGTTGTAATGTGTTTCCTTATTCTCAGTGTTCTTCCAGGTGCATTGGAGGGGAAGAAGTGTATATAGCCCCACTAAATATACATATAGATCATACCACAACTGTTCAGTACCTTGAGAATGATTAATAATTCAAGAGTAAACAATTATCCATATTTGTATATATTTAAAATTTGCCATAAAAACCCATACTATTATATTTTTCTGCAACCAACAATTTACACACATTTGATATCCTCGAAGTAGAGTTGTGTTCACATCACTTATTCTGTTTACTGTTTAGTTTTTCCCTTGACAAGTAGACACAACCAAGGCAGTCGACAATGGGCTGTGGTAATGAGGTATTAACAATAGACATATCGGGGGATGTAGGTGGAGGAATGTTAATAGCTGAAGTCACCATCAAATTCACTAAATGTGTTGACCTCTAACTACATAGTGCTTGAAGGTCGGTTCGGTGTCAGGCTTTTAAATAGCCAAATATTTAACCCTTTAACATACCATAGTTGGTGAGTGTCAACTTCTTTAACTGTTCAGATTAAATATTCCGCTGCCTTTTGTCACCAAAAGGTTGTGTTGTACTCCAAGGAAATGAATGCCTTATACAGTATACATATGGTGACTTCAGCTTTGTTTTCCCAGTTTGATCAGTTTTCCCCTTGTCATAACATAGGATCAGGGTTTCCTGGGCAAGTAACTTGAACATTTTGGATCCATTTGTGTATTTTTGGGTGACCATGGCCATGGTGACTACTGCCGGAGTGTGTGGTGCCTCAGCAGCTGTGTGATCTTTCTCTGATTTCTCTTCCTTTTGCACAGGTTCCATCTGCTGGGTTTCTCCCTTATCGGCTATGATGAGAGGTCAATATTCTGCTCTCTTGCATGAGCTTGGTTATGGCTTAATATTAACTGTTAGTGTATTGCTACTGTCTTTTCCTCATATTTCTGGTAATTGCTAAATACTTTGCAGCAGTTTGTCTGTGGACAGCTGATTGAATAAATAATTTTGAAGGAAAATCAAAGTTTAACAATAGTCCAGTATCAATCGGTTCTCTGACCAGATATTACCAAGGATGGAACCATGACTCAGTAATGGATAAATGAAATTAAGATTGCATATAATTTATTTTCATAAATTATTTCTGACCGGTTTAAAATGAAAAATTTTATGAAGTAAAGACAGTTGGCAGTATTCTCCAGACTAACATAGATGCAGTGTACTTTATATGAAACTGTTCACTAGGATTGACAGTCATGTTTAGTATTATTTGTTAAGTTTACAGTACATTTGATATTATTTTACAAATCTTATCCATGATGATCTTTTTTCTATATTTTTATAAATTTAAGAATGAAGAGTTTTCATGATGTAAATGATTCTGGACAAATTTGAAAGTAAACTTAAAGAATGAAATGTACTGTACTTTGAGATGTGGGAATGAAATGTACTGTACTTTGAGATGTGGGGAAATTGTTTGATGAAACACAGTGCTTGTGCAATGTTGGTAGCAGTTATGTTCATTTGTTGCTAACACTTTGACTCACATTACAAATAATAATATTTATTAGTTATAATTGGCTCTAACATCTTAGAATACCACTGAAAAGGGGTTATTAACTTGAACCTATTCAATTCACACTATTCTAAATCATTTAATGGTTGTTCATTTTCAGACACAACTCAACCTGTTGAGGAGTACTGCTATCCTTGTGCACTTTCTCTTACCCCTTTTATTTATTTATTTTTGTTTTATTAGCTTAATTTTTTCCCTCAATGTGTTATATATTTTGTGTCAATTTACTTATTTTTGCATCACTTAACTCGCGTAGAAACTTGTTAACATAAAGAGAAATTCTTAGATACACAATCTCTCCCAGTATAGAAACTCCTCAATACGTACATGACATCTTTACTTATACTAATTCCTTCATGCATCTCCACACACCATAAAAACTCTTCCACTCTCAGATCTCAATGAAGGTCTGTCTAAATGAAGATGGCCACTTATTTAGATTCCATTATGTAGTTCCCCAAAATGTGTCACCATGAACTTGGCCTTCACACCTACTGTATCTAGTTGTAGCTTACCATACTCATAATTACTTCTCTTTTTTTTTTTTTTTTTTTACAGCCATAACTTTTTTTTTTACAGCCATAACTTTACAGCCATAATTTTTTTTTTACAGCCATAACCTCACCTTCAGCTTTGGGTTGTGTGTGACTCAATTAGTTACACTGCCTGCCTTTTTCACCAAGAACTGTGTTAGCTTTCATTCTGTTATGGGCCGAGACTAATCTAAAATTAAGTTCTTGTGATTCTGTCCTTTCTCCTTTACTACTAAATGCAGTGAACCACATCCTCTCTTTAAAATATGGTGACACTCAAAAGTTTTCCAGTTCACATTTTCTTTCTCCTGTTTCCTCATAGCAAATTAAATGTTCTTCCTTTACCAAATCCTGCCAGTGCTTCAATTTTATGGTTTTTCATTATAATTAGCATATAATATATATATATATATATATATATATATATATATATATATATATATATATATATATATATATATATATATATATATATATATATATATATATATATATATATATATATATATATATATTCAGAAGTATTCATTTTTACAATTTAATTTTGTATTTTAAATAACCATTGTGGTGCAGCATGAGGAGCTGTCACCAGGTAATCGTGGCTAACCCATGAAACGTGGAAAATGGCTGTAAAACATTTTTCACTCCGACATTTCTTTAAATTAGTTTCCCAGTTCACTGTTTATTTTTAATACTGTACATTCTATTCCCGAGGTAATGTCATTATTCACCTTTGGTTACTTTTCTTAAACTACTATACTGTACAATATTGTTAAGCACGCACGCACACACACACACACACACACACACACACACACACACACACACACACACACACACTCTTCCATCATTTCTTCATGGTTTATTTATTTTGTACATCTTTCTATAAATCCTTCTTCTTTATGTGCATAGTTTTCCTTCTGCAAGTTCATTGGCCATCTTGGATTATACTAACATATATAGTATATTAAAAAAAACTCACTTGAGCTATAGAATTCAGATATTTATTTGTTTTCTAACTTTTGGAATTACTCCAAGGCACATCTTCACCAACATTTTTTTTATACAGTACTAGAATAATATAGATTACAGCTTGTTTTGCTTTTGCATACTAAGTGTTCACATCGTAGGTTATGGAGATGTAAATACATGGGCTAGTATTGTTGTACTGTACTGGTAAATCAGTCAGTTTATTTTGTCAGCATTAAAGTTCTTGTTACTAACTTTGAATTAAATGTGGAAGTGTCCAAAAAAAGTTTTACCTAAATGTATTAAGACATCAGTCAGAAAAGCACAACAACTCTTTTTGCCACTGGAAATTTTTTTTTTTACTGATATGGAGTTCAGGACATGAGATGGCTTGAGCACTCATTAACTTTTTGCTGTGTCTTCTAACACACTGTGGTGCACTCATGGAAATGGTGATTAATTTGTGTTTTCCAGCTCTCAATACAGTAGTACTCTATAAATTTATAAAATAAAGTTTTTATAGTTTTTGGGCTGTTTGTTGCCATGTGACTGATATATGTAGAGATGAAAGGTTTTTGTTTAGAATCACAATTGGACCATTTTCTTCATTGAAAACATTTAACAAAGGGGGTAATGTTATGGATATTTTCATCAAGACTGTAACATGATATAGTGTCAAGTTGGCTATTGTGTTTGATACACTGAATGTACTTATAGGTCATCCATGATGGAGGGTTCTGGAACATTGGAGCAGCAGTTGGAGGCCACCCGACAGAAGGCAGCTGAAGTTCGAGCTCGTCGTGTGGATCTTAAGAAGATTGAAGACCTTGGACAAATTCTTGAGGAACACCTGATCCTGGACAACAGATACACTGAGCACAGGTAGGATAACACTAAGTCATACAGTTCATTAATTCAGGTTGGGATGGCACCAACTTCTTCTCTTTTAAACAAATTCATCCCTAGGTGGCCTTAGGCTGGACATTCTTGTATGTAACCACACATACACACACTTATGTATATTAAATGCCAAGGCCCAGGACTAACATATACCATATCACTTGGGGATTAGTAACTTTAAAATTTGGGGAAATGACACACTTAACTTTTGAATATCCTGTGCTCCCAAACTTCTGTTACTGGTATTTTATAAGCCTTTCAACCTATATACAATTTGGTTTTCATGCATTCCTTTAGGCTCTGTAACAACTAGCAGTACACAGTCTGTTAAATCATAATGTTCTATGAACATTTTGTGGTCATTGCCTTCCTTCGATGCTAGTAAACGAAACAATGGAAATAGGTAAATGCATTAGTTTGTGTGTACTGTAATGTTATCGCTGTTTTTTTGGCAGTACGGTGGGATTGGCACAACAGTGGGATCAGCTGGACCAGTTGGGAATGCGCATGCAGCATAACCTGGAGCAGCAGATCCAAGCCCGTAACCAGTCTGGTGTATCTGAAGATGCCCTCAAGGAGTTCAGCATGATGTTCAAAGTTAGTGTTTTTTTTTTTTATATAATTATTTTTATTTTATTAAACTCTTCATTTATTTTACATTTTAGAAGTTTTTCTTTGTGAATGAAGAGCAAGATTTTTTTAACTTTAGCTTTTGAACAAAAACCATAAGCTGTATCCTTCTGCACAATGCTGCAGTAAGACTTGTTATTGATTGCATATTGAAGTGCAATAGCTATATTCATTTTGAAAATTCTGTAACACACACCATTCTCATTTCAGCACTTTGACAAAGAGAAGTGTGGCCGACTGAACCATGCAGAGTTCAAGTCTTGTCTGAGAGCTCTGGGTTATGATCTGCCCATGATTGAGGAGGGTCAGAATGATCCAGAATTTGAAGCAATCCTGGATGTTGTAGATCCAAACCGTGATGGTGCTGTCTCACTCCAGGAATACATGGCGTTCATGATTTCCAAGGAGACAGAGAATGTTCACAGCTCAGAGGAAATTCAGAATGCTTTCCGTGCTATTGCTGCTGGAGATCGCCCATATGTGTTACGAGAGGAACTATATCAAGTAAGTTTGAAGTGTCATCTTATTCAGTTTTGCATTGATGGACATTTAACTAATTGATTTTTACAGGGCATTCACTTCCTCTATATTAATTATATTGCTGTTGAGTTTACTGTTGTCAATATTGTCTTACATAATTTTGTGCAAAAGTTTTTATTGTTATTAATATCCTTTAAATATTTTAAATTTCTTCAACAGAACCTTACCAAAGAAATGGCAGACTACTGTGTGGGTCGCATGAAACCATACGAAGATCCAAAATCGGGCATTGCGGTCCCTGGAGCCATGGACTACATCGAGTTTACTCGTACTCTCTTTTCTCAGTAGACTGAAGTCCTTTAAATGCTGACCAGTCTTTACTGTTACCATAGATAATATATTTAAATATAATCAATAATTGGTATGCACAGAGATATTATTGATAAATAAAACACTATTTATGATAGGGCAGCTTTCCTATGATCTGTTTTATGATGTGGATTTGTTCTCGTAGTTTTTTGTTCATAGTTGTACTAATTGTACTGTATTAGGTTATTTGGAGTGTAAACTTCAAGTAAACAGATACTAAATTTTTAGAAAATCACTGTCTTGGAAACATAAAACAGCTGTGAACAAGGAACCTGATCCAACAAATAGGCTCGCGGTAGTTATGATGTGTAATGCATAACAGCTGTGTTAAGTCATTTTGCTTGAAAACTACCACCCATGTCTTGCTCACAAGATCTTAAGATAATGGTGCTATGAATTTTTTTTTTAAATCCATATATGTAGAGGGCTGTTGCTATCAGTACTCTTATATGCACTATTTTCAAACTTGCTGAATATGATATGCACTTAAGTAGAATTTAGAGCCACTACAGTACAGTATATGCTTGTTAGCCATGAGTCAATATTGCTGGGCAGGATATAATGTGTGTGTGTGTACATGGTAAAATTAATGTGAATAAGGGGTATAACACCAAGGACTCCCACTACTGACGGCTATTAAAAGAGAAGTCCTTCTCCTTATTTACATAAAGTATTCACACCTTCAAATATCTGTGGATATAAGCCAGTGACAGAGACTGACCATCAAGAACTACAGATCTGACGGCTTTACTTTTACTTGTAGTTCTTCTCTTATCATTGGCTTGTATTTGTAGGTACCTCTGTATTTGCTGCATATTTCCATTTATATGTATTAACTCAAAGTATCCAGTTCATTTGTTATAAATTGTCATCTGATTCATTAGCATCTAGAGATGACTGGTGAAGCAAAAAGTTGAGTAGTGACAGCTGGGTGGTAGTATGGTGGAGGGTGCTTGTCAACTATCGGGGTCTTTATATTTTATGCGAAGTGATTAGGAATCAGTCAATGCCTAAATGGTACTCCCATATTACAGCTAATGAATCTGAATTTTTTTTATTTACCTTACCCTGTGCTTTGTTTCCTACCTACGTATAATGAAAATTCTTCTCTGAAGGAGATTGGTTTATAGTCTTTCATTTACTTTGGATATGCCCTTCATCTGTCAAGAAAAACATACAGTAAGTGAAGTATATAATGTATTGTTCTCTTGCCAGTCAGTGGAAGGGGAATCTGTACATCAGTTGAGTTGTGAATGTGGGATTTCAAGAAAAAGTAGAGCTCAATCTTTATCACAATGCTGTCCATATGCGAGCCAGGAAGATGAACTTTATCGTTAATTTCCCTTCTTTTACAGTTCAGATGTTACAGCATGTTTTTGTGGTGATTGTTAATTTTTTTTTTATTATAAATACAACTTTTTGAGCAAAAAGCAAGTGTGGTATCTCAGCATGGTCTTTGGCGAGACATTGACCCATATTTTCCTTCATATCAGAAAGTTACAGCCATCATACAGTAGAGTGCCTGGGAAGTTGGGCCATGATCCAGTTGGTCATATTTTGGGGTTACCAAACATTGGCCAGTGATCTAGATGTACTGTACTGGATTGGTTTTGTATTGAAAATGTTGTGGGAGGTTAGACTAATTTCAACTACTGTATCTTATTTACTGAAATGTCCTCATACGAAAGAAAAGATATTTGAAGAATATTTAGGAGAACTGTTAAGGTTATGTGATGAAAGAAAAACATGACAAAATTCCAAGCGGTGTTAATCCAGGGTGTAAATTCCGTCCAGTAGAGATTCCATCGTGGAAAGTTGACAGCAGAAGCTTGGATGCCAATTACAATTACTTAATTACCGAGCTGAAATGACCATACATGTTTCATGTAACTTTTATCTCGGTAATGGACTTTTACTTCATTTATTTGTTACTTTATTCTAGGCAACTAAGCAGCAAGTGTGGTATTTTCCCAGTCAATCAGAACTCGGTGAGCCTTGCAACATGCTTCCAGCCAATCATAATTCAGTGTTGAGTGAGTGCATATTTGCTGTCAATCCCAAAAGGGGTACAATAAATAAAAAAATCAATTATTGGCTTTTGTTAATTCATTTTTTTTATTTATTTAAATATTTTTTTTATGGGATTGCCCACCAGGGCTGACCCACATGAGGGCCTAGGGGCGAAAATATGATAATATAATTATAATAATAATAATATAAAAATATTAAATATAAATATATATAATACTGGACAACATTAATGAGGATGATAATGATAATAAAGGACAATAAAAAAATAATAAAAATCAAGTGAGAAACAATGTACAGGTATGTATGATGTGTTGTCAGAGAAACAATTGAAACCCTGCACTTGTGTGTACATGAGGCAATAGGTCGGATAAGCATCCTAGGACTTGGTCACAATATTTGTGATGCCACTTATTTTAATTTGTATTTTTTTTTTACACTGGGGTTAGCCTACCGGAGCACAGGTCACTGACACACCAGGGCATGGGGGGCGTAAATATAATATAATATTTAATAAAAAAAAATATATAACCCCAAAAATACTAATAATAATAATAACCATTAATAAATATACAAACGAAAAAATAAATCGAGTGAGACGATAAACAGCGTGTTGTGTTGCCAATAGTAAGAAACAATTGAAACCCTGCAATTATGTTGAAAATGAGGCAGAAAGTCATATCAGCAACCTGGGACTTTGTCACAATTTTTGTGATGCCATATGGCAGCAGGGTCTACTGGGGTACGAGTTGTTTGGTTCACACTCAGGATGGGATGGAGAAAGGAAACTCTCAATGTGCTCTCTGTATACATGTTGTATTGGATGTACAATGCAGCTTGGTGCTGGGAAGTGGCAGCGTGGTTACAAGCGTGATGTAGAGAGAGCTGGTTGGTGAGGATGCCCAGAGGACAGCTTGTGGGTCGCCATGCTCGCCGGCGGGAGCGAGGGCCGCCAGGCAGCGGCGGAGGAGGTATGTAGCTTGCTGCGGCTGTAGCGGGGGTAGGCGTGGCTTAGTAGTTGACCTCCGTGATGTATGGCGGCCCTGGTTGACCCAGACCACGAGGCACACACGGGAATTCGCGGGGTCGGCTACTCGGCGACAAACAGCATTTGTAGGGGAGAAATTCACTACACTACCATTAGACCACCTTATGCTTCTAATATCTTCCCGGGCGGTATAGTGTAAATTTCCCCTATAGTAGCACCTCCCTGTTTGATAACTGTACTACGTACTTAATATACAGTATATATTTTTTTTTGCGTGCTGGTCAAGCTCCGACCGAGGGTTAGCTAGACCAGTATTGTTTAAGCAAATAATGCTTTGAATCATAATGTACAGGTATACGGTACAGTTTATTTATTACAGTTTAAGTACTGTAGCTTTTTGCCTTCAGGCTACAAGCAGCAGACTGGTGAATCAGAATTGGATAGTTTAAGTACAATATTGGCACTACATTACAAAATAAACAGTAGTGTACCGGATGTTTAAATTCTTATGAAAAAAATATCGCAATGGTATTTTTACTCAAATATTTTTTTATACGTATTACTTTCACTTGAAGCAATATGTACATGTTCAATCATGCAAGTTTTCAGATCATCCCGTGAAAAAGGTCTCGGCTAGTCTTAATTAGCAGATATTATAACAACCCGTCCTTATACAGTACTCTGGTCAGCCTAAGATTCAAGTTTACCGGTGTGGTGATGAGACGTGTTCCCTAGTTGGCTAAGCTGATCCGCCATTTCCTCGGTTAACCAGTGATGAAGCTCATACTATTACAACTAATTTAGGAAATAGGCACAGTACAAGGTGGTAATTTGTCTGTGTTTGATGTATTTCAAGTTTTTTGACGTTACTGAAGGCGAATCACACAATTTTATATGTACTCAAAGGCAAGTAAGTAATCAGAACAACATATATAGGAACATATTGTAAATGGCACTGTGATACAAGTGCGTTTGTGACAATAAAATTGCTTTGAGTGATGAGACGCTAACAACCGTGACGGTCGTGGCTAATGTAAAGACAATAAAGGTATGTCCCAGACGTTATCATGAGGACAGTGATTATGAAAGTAAAATTAGTTATGAACAAATGACAGTTGAATCTAAAAGTGATAAGTTTAATATTCGTCCATTGGCTGTCCACAGGTTCCCGTCATTTTCACTTGAGTCAGTTCTCTCCTTACCTCCTCCTCCTCCTCGTAGGTTAGGTTAGGTCAGGTTGGTTGGTTCATTTGGTATGAGAATAGTTTTTTTGTGTGCATTTTTGGTGTGTTTTACTCTAATTTGACCTCCATTTTTGTGCAAATTAGCAGTTTCGGTTAAAAATAATTTTAATTTTTTGCTAAAACAGCTGATTTGCAAAATAAATGTCATTTGAGTAAAACACCGAAAAACGCCAAAAAACCCCCACCTATTCTCGTACCAAAAACTGAGGACAGCCAATGGACGAATATTTACCAGTGATAAATTAAGTGAAATTAGTGTGAGTAAGAGTGAAAATGACAGTGAAGGCGTGTTTATGCCTTGTTTGGAGAGTACTGGCCACTTGTCTTCGGCCACAAGCTCAAGAAGTAAATTATGGTGCTGTTGTCACGTAATCACCTCTACTTCAGAAATGTAAGTTCAATACATTTGTGACCTTTATTATAAACTTTTTATGATGTTGCTTTACAGTATCTGCCAATTTTGTACTATAAATGTCCTTTTTGTAGAAGAAAATTACGTAGTGGATAAAGGTACGGTGGTCGTATTGACGGACTGTGTTGTTTAGGTTCTAGGGTAGGTTAGGTTAGTGTTTGGTTTGATTTGGTTTGGTTAAGTTAGTTAAGTCAGCAAGAAGGTCAACGTGGGAACTATCATGGTATAGTCTGCCCACCACGCAGGCACACTGGGCATGGCGTTTCCCATACGGCTGCCGTACCTGTATCCCGTGCCCCTTGTCCGTGCCTAAGAATTATCATATATGTTACTTATTTGTTTTTAATGTAAAAATACAGTTGGCTTTACGGTGATATATAATTTTACATGAGTTTCAAAATAGCCGTAGACTAAATTATCAAGAGCAATGAAGGGATTCTACACAGGCCACAGGTGTTCTTCCCTCGGCATGGCCAGCGACCACCTCTCGGTAGTGGGTGGCCATTATGAACATAAGGTAGATAATATTTACATTATGTATACATAAAGTAGATAATATTTATAATTAAAATTAATGCTTAAAAAGAGGAAATAAATAATTTTACACATGATTGATCTCTGCCATTATTTACGTGCGCATTCCTAAAACTCATAATTTTATCTTCACGGCGTAAGGGTTAAAATTGTCTTTGTTTACCTTACTTATGTAATGGCCACCCACTGGTAGACTGTTCCATAGGTCTACCACCTTCTGTGTGAAGTATTTCCTTATGTTCGTTCTGCATGATAGCTTGGCGAGCTTGCAGTTGTCCTCTCGTGTTGGTGGTGTGTGGCATCACAAATAAATGTCCCAGGTTCATGTTACATGTACTTCATAGCACCGGTGTGACGTGGTGAGATCGTACCGGGTTGATCCAAACACCATTAATGGCTTGAGGCGTGCTGAAATTACCCCTCGGAATAAAAAATTAGGTTAGGTTAGGTTAGTTTTGGTTAGGTTTTGATCGATGTAATCTCAGCACGCCATACCAGGTTGGATATGAGACGGGTGTTATTAACCCCTTCAATACGTGGACGTCACTTTTAATATTTTATTTGGCTAACGCCAAACGATTTTGTTCATCTCAAAGGCGACCCCGGATCGCGGATACAAGGGGTTAAGTGTGACTCCACCAAAAATCGCAGGCTTTGCCAGTTTCCTGTATTAACGCTGGACAGTGGAAGTCGTAAAAGACCGACCACCCGAATCTGACAAGTCGTGAAAATTATAAATATAAATATGATAAAAATTAAGTTTGTTACTGGAGTAATGTCTCACGAGACAGAGAAAACGAATTTTGTTCCAGCTGTTGTAGGGTAACCTGTGAAAATCAGACACTGGCTCCCAGCTGCGGGGGGGGGGGACAATATTTCCACTTGGTCAATATTTCTTTTGTGAATTTTTCATATGGTTAGATGGGGAATAAGGGTGAGCAGTTAATGTACAAATATAGTAACCTTAATGTTTTGATTAAAAAAAAAAAACGAATTAAGTGTCCGCATTTTTTAACTATTATGGATAAATGCAGTAAATATTTTTTTTCTTAAGTAGATGATGAAGATGAAATGTTATGTTCCCCTGTAAATTATGTCAGTATTGGTGCAACTAGTAACCGAACAATTGGAACTACTGGTCTTGGCTTGTTAGGCAGTTATCCGAGAGAGATTTGTCAGCTGGTGAAGGCCTGTGATTGGTTGGTAAACAGATGGGGGGCGGGAAAAGCTATTGTTATAGACGGACTAAGGGATTTGACTCACGTTCTATAAAAAAAATATAAGAAGTTTGAGCGATTGGTTTATAAGTCAATGGGATGAATACCTTTTTTTTGCAGGATTAGCCCACCAGGGCAAATATACCGTTCTTGCCTCGCAAGCGAGATGTCACGGGTTCGATTCCCGGGCCTGTGGAAGTTGTTTGGACCTACTTCCTAGCCCCCATTAGTCCCTGTTCACCTAGCAGTAAAGTAGGTACCTGTTGTAAGTCGAAAGTTGCGAATTCGTAATCAGGGAGTTGTTGGAGCTTCCAATAACTTGATGACATAAACCACTGACTCTTCAGGCTTCTACGCCCTAACTCATGAGACATAAAGGCAAGCATGAACTTAGCATGCTTCCCTGTTGGGCGCTGTAAACGCTTCTGCGCTTCACCTTACACAAGGATGTAGGGGAGTGCCCAATAATAAAAAAAATATATAATAATAATAATAATAATAATAATAATAATAATAATAATTAATAATAATATTAAAAGTTATCATATTTACCTCAGATTATATCCTAATATCCATTGCATATGACCTCAACATTCCCAACGTGTGATTTACACTATAAGGAGAGGCTTTCCACAGCCTAGTGTTGTGTTACAATGCGTGCGGTGGACCAGCGGTGAGTCCAACCAAGAGTTAGAAGAGCGAGTCAGGGAGACGTCTGGGCGTCCTGCAGCTGGAACCCGCCACCAGAGTTGAGGTGCATCACAGGAGAGAGACTCCTTTGGATGTTGAGGCATCTTGGCTGGTGATTAGACACTTCCTGACACCTGATTAAAATCCTCGAGTCGTTATATGATTTTTTTTTCGGTTGATGATGCGTTTCCCGAGTAGCTACACTGTGGGGCTTCATTTAAGGAACACAGCAGTCGGTGGCGTGGCGTCCCCTGCTGTCTCCTGCTGAGGCCAAGGAAAACCTCTACTGATACTGACCAAGTGCGAGTGTCATTGTTGTGGTTACATGGCCAACATACACACGCGTGTACAGGCACATAAACACAGACACAAACAAACGTGTGTACAAATATGTACACACGGTCCGTGTATACATATTTGTACATACGTGTGACATGAAAATAATTACTAAATGCAGTAGCTGGGGACTGACATAGGTTACCGTATTACATCACTTGCCAGATATTACAAATTATAAACAAAAGTCTCTGTAAACCTCTAATTTGTGATGATGTGAGTTAAGACTGGTTGTTGTGTGTCTATGATCCTGTGTGGAAGACTGATTGAGAGAGAGAGATAACTGAAAAGGTCTTATCTGGAACATGTTTGGCGTTATCTTACGGCAGAGAGAGTGAGCCTTTGTTAATGCTGGGTGAAAATAGTTGAAATTGAATGATATAGTGTATCACTATATCAGAGAGAGAGAGAGAGAGAGAGAGAGAGTTTATATCTGATGGTAGGAAGGTGTGTGGAGGCCGCCCAGGACGAGGCAGTGAGCGAGTACAAAGGCGGCGGTATAGGCGGCCAGAAAGACGCCTGCGTACAGGAAGGTGGTCGACCCTCCCAGTGCTTGCACCAGCTGACCCCCCCACCACCCCACCCACTGACTGACCTGTTGATTATTTTATCTCTGACCAATTATACCAGGTTAATTTTTCCTACAGTGTCTGAGGATAATTATTGATGGGAACAAGAGAAATGTAATTGACCGTGGATGAGTGTGTGTGTGGGAATGTTATTCTCTATGAGACTAGCTGAGGTAACCGGCGTTGCTCGGACTTGTTTTTGAAGGAGGCAGCTCATAGCCATGTCTCTGACTACACAGCTAACTACATTGCTATCTAAGCTATCATTTACAGTACATTAAATACAGTGTCGCGTTTTCTGGTGGGGGTTTGACCTTGCAAGGACCGACCTCCTCAATTGCTCATAATGGCCGATGGATGACATACGTTGCGTCGCTAAAAACCGTCAGCTCCCAGACCTTCTCTCACTGGCTTGCAGGACTCAACCATCAAACACTCCTAAAGAACTCGTTCTTGTTGATCCTATAACTATAGTAAACAAAAAAGTCCAAACTTAGTTTTGGTCGACGTAGCCCGCAAGCAGGTGAGAGTTGTCCAACTGTGTGAGTTCGAATAGATTCGTTGAGTGGGTTTGGTTAAGGGGAAACCAAGAATTTAATTGGGTTTTACTAAGTGAATTTGAATGAATCAGTATGAATGAATGATGGACTGAGTGACCGCAAACAATATTAAACTGAGTGAAGCCTAACTAAAGAAGTACTTGAACCTCACTAACCAAACATCAAGCAGAGTCTGACGAGGCTGTGTACGGTGGCTTCGGCGCCCTTGGGTGCGAGGACACTGGCGTAGGAGGAAACGCTGGACAGGATTAGGCCGAAGGACATCCCATGCAGGAGTTCGATGGCCAGGAAGAACCAGGGGTTGCTGACGAAGGAGTACTGCAGAAAACGCGTGCTGAAGGACGCCAGAGACACTGCGATGGTGGTCAGGTGACCCAAGTGTTGAATGGTGTACGCTGTGTCAGGAGAACAGTGTTACTGCTGTACTAAGTGACACTTGACCTCATTACAATTATTATTCAAGTGTTACAAACTCAGCTAATATATTCTTGATGTTGGCATATCAGATGTTGAGCACAGTATATATCCTGCCATGCAATACGTGGTAGAAAGTCAGACAGATAATATCCGTAACGAAAGGTTTGATAACATTTATGTGGTATTTAAGTCAAATATTGTTGGAAGTTATTGACTCTTTTTAGCGATGGACGAAGGTGAGATGTTGTTTGACTCACAGGAGAGGAACATAAAGGGGACTTCCCCAAGTAAGCAGTCGATGCCCAGAGCGAGGCCCTGTAAGAGCTCGAGGTAGGTGAAGTCAGGATACCAGGCTTGAGACACATCCTCCATCAAGATGAAGAGGAACGTCCACAACATACCAAACGACGTCTCCACCACCTCCGCCGTGGTCACCTGTGTCGCCAAGGAACTTATGTTATATCTGATCTTAGATTTTTTTTATGGAAATAGCCCACCCAGGCACGGGTCAACAACGGGGCCTGGGGGGCGAAAAAATAAGAATACAAAAATAAAAATTAGAGGAGAAAAAGAGTATGTAGTGGTGATTATTAGTAATTTTAAACACTGTTGCCAGTCACACAAGGAAAGAAATTTATCTGTGGTTCCTTTAAAGTATTGGGTTAAAGAAGTGTATTGGATGTATATAAAATGAACCTGGTCAATTGGCTAATATTGCTAAACGGTTTCGACAGCTACAAGTGTTTTGTGATGCTTATACAGGAACAATGGATTTATTTCTTAACCAGCAAGAGGAGAATTCTGAGGGAACAGAATCTGGCGGAGATGGTGTTGTGTTTCTTCCTTGGCGACACAACAACCTCGATCCTGGAGGCGACGGCCACGTTCAGCAGGACCAGCATGCTAAGTTCATGCTTGCCTTTATGTCTCAGGAGTTAAGGGCGTAATAGGCAGAGGGACATTGATGCGTGAATTGTTTACGGCGTGGGAGAACGTTTATGGCGTGGGTGAACGTTTATGGCGTGGGTGAACGTTTATGGCGTGGGAGAACGCTTATGGCGAGGGTGAACATTTACGACGTGGGAGAACGTTTATGGCGTGGGTGAACGTTTATGGGTGGGAGAACGTTTATGGCGTGGGTGAACGTTTATGGCGTGGGTGAACGTTTATGGCGTGGGTAAACGTTTACGGTGTGGGAGACGTTTACGGCGTGAGAGAACGTTTACGGCGTGGGAGAACGTTTATGTCGTGGGTGAACGTTTATGGCGTGGGTGAACGTTTATGGCGTGGGTAAACGTTTACGGAGTGGGAGAACGTTTATGGCGTGGGAGAACGATTACAGCGTGGGAGAACGTTTACAGCTTGGGAAACCGTGAACGATATAGAACTTCAGAACTGCGTGGGAGAATGTGAGTGGGAGAGGTGTTAGTTACGCACGAGTGAACGCCCGGATGCGTTGACCTTCACTGTTCGATGGCCGACGACTGCCAATCGGATAAACAATTTTTTTTTTCTTCTGGCTGGACTTGGAAGCTCTATCTGGCTAACTATTTTGTATGACTGAATAGAATGGAAAAAAAAAGTAATATTTTTGGTGTTTGAACCTTTTAAAGTATTCTTGAAACTATTTAGTTGCGGCAATAAAAGACAGGTAGGTTTTTTTTAACGCTTATTTGGTTGAGTGTATCAATCTTGTATGACTGAATCGAAGGAAAGTTGATTATTCTACGTGTTTGATCCCTCTAAAATATTCTATAAATTCTCTCTGGTGATGGGAAGTGGTGTTAGTTTGGTTTCTTGACCCTTATAGAGGAACATCCAAGATTTAAAGGTTAGGTTAGATTATTTGGGTTAGGTTAGGTCTTGGCGTGATGGGTTGTACAGTTGTGTTAGTCACTCCAGGATGTTTTTTAGGTCACTTTTACGTAGTTTATTCGTTTTCTCGTCACTTATGAAGCTTCAGACCAATGAACCAACAAACCTTCGAATCAATGAATCTTTGAACAAACAAACCATCGAACCAGTGAACTTTTGAAATAACGAAGCCTCGAACTAATGAATCTTTGAATTAACGAACCACCGAACCAGTGAACTTATGAGCCAACGAACCATCAAACCAGTGAACTTTTGAACGAATAAACCATCGAACCAGTGAACACCTGGAGCAATATGTAATCGGAATATAAAACCGTAACCGAGTAACAGCTAGACAGCTCACTACCAGGACAAAACTTATTGAAAAGTTCGTAAATTCCTCTGTTCGAAAATTTTGAGAAATAGAATTTCCCCCAACTCGGATATTACCACCATCATATTTACCTCAAGTTGGCAAAAAGCGATTCAAATCCCTTCTAAAAAGTTCATCAAAAGTACTAAAACTTTTTTCTGGCAAAGTTTCAACAGTGTGATGGGTTTCAAGACTCCTCACAGCAACTCTCATCTGGCTTTTAGAGGAAAGATTTTTTTTCACTTCATTTGCGGACTAAATTATTATCGTTTTGATATGTATTAAGGATTTTAATTTTGTTTTAGTACCTGCTTAAAAATTGGCTCATGTACAGAAATGTAAATATATATATATATATATATATATATATATATATATATATATATATATATATATATATATATATATATATATATATATATATATGAAAAATCGTTACACCGATCTCGTTAGAAAATTGGGTAGGTAAAGGCTTCTCCCTCAGCAGTCACCCACGGCATTGTGGGCAACACAGGTGAGCGTGCACAGCGTGGCCGAAGCGACTTTACCCTGACGGGATCAATTAAAACTTGCCTTCCCCTCAGCTTGTTAGTACAGAGTTTTGTGGTTGGCTGTTGTGTGGTGGGTGACTCGAGTCGGACGTGTTATCTTTATGTTTACACGAGAGCTTGGCACTTGTTTTACTGTCACGTATATGAAGGGAATTTATTGTTTACTTATATAAAGACGGAATTTATAGTGTATACAGTCACACTTATACGATGACTGAGTGGATACAACGCTCATCTCTCGTCCTAAGGATCACTAGTTCGAACCTTGAGCATCCGTGGTACACTCAGTGGCGAATGGGTTCCTAATGTTATAGTTGGGGAGGTGAAGGCGGTCGAGTGCAGTGCCGTGGTTGATATATTCAGTGTGTTGTGTATGTGGTCCTATGGGACCCACCTTCACCTTACACTAAATATATTAAAGAAATTTATACCTTTACCACGATATAAACATGATGGTTTTATTATTTAATTTTTTCTTTTAAGTATATTAGATTTTTTTAGTTTTCGTAATTACTTATAGTCTTCTAAATGCAGTATCAATATAATTATTCTCCTGATGCCTTGAATACCGATCAGAATCTATTATATAAATCCCGAATAAAAAACAAAACACGAAATTAACAATAAAAACTTAAGCTAATTAAGAAGTCGACCATAAAAAATAGAAAAGATTGAACACTAATTACAAAACACGTGATCAAACACTACAAATTAGTGTGCAATTTGCCAACCGAGGATTTTTCCAATTGTTTTTATTTCACATGATAAAAGTGTTAAATATTTGCCAAAAGATCGGAGCAAATCCTTTCGTCGACTCTAGTAGCTATATCATTATTATATTAATGGTGTTGTGCCTTCTAACTTGGTAGGTACAAGCGGAATCCTGAATTTACGATCGTCTTTTTTTTCTATACGCGCGAGTTCGAGAATAACCATACATGAAATAACAACAGATTAAAAAAATAAGTGAAATTAATCATTAGGAAGGAGTTTACTTTCGCCTTTTTCTTCTTCTCGCGCGTTCGATAATGACAATAGATGAAATGGAAAAAAAACAATAAATGAAATGAATCGGATGTTGTACTTATAGGAAACAAGAGACAACATTCATATATTAAGAAAAAGAAAAGCCATAGGTTATTTTTATATGGTTAGGTTAGGTTAAGTTAGGTCATATTTTTACATTCCTGATAATTTTTACATAAACCAAAAGAAGAGTAAGATTCATTTTATATTCATATATTAAAAAAGAAGAAGAATGACTTCCTCTTATGAGCTTCAAAGAACAAGTTACTTTATATAAGCTAACAAAAAAGTATTTCCATAAGTTAATAAAAAAAGAAACTGCTTTATAACAAAAATACATAAAAGAAGCTAAAATCTATGGACAAATTTAGATAGAAGAAAGAAAGAAAGAAAGAGAGAGAGAGAGAGAGAGAGAGAGAGAGAGAGAGAGAGAGAGAGAGATAGAGAGAGAGAGAGAGAGAGAGTATTGAGTTAACTAGAAAATAACTTCCATAAAACAATAAAAAAAAAAAAAAGACACTATATCGTGGAATCAATCTTGAACCTTCATCTTTCGTCTTTAAATGTCAACTAGTTTTAGCCTTGGCAAGACCCCCCACACACCGAGAGACACTAGAGGGTTTCATTAATGGAGCACCGTGGTTGATAGATAGATAGATACATAGATAGGTGGATGTAGTAGTAGTAGTAGTAGAAGTAGTTGTGGTACTAGCAGCACACGCTACCCAGCAGGTGGCAGGTGTGTGAGTCGTCAAGAATTATACACGAGTGAGAAAAGGTCAATAAACTCGGTTGACCCAGCACTCGACGAGGGGGGTGAGGGAGGGGGGCAGGGGGGTGTGAAGGAGGGAGGAGCTTAAGGCTAGGCAACTACTGCTGCTGCTCTCTTGCAATGGTGATGATGTTGAGTCCTGTTGCTGCTGTTATTGTTGCAAGTGTTGGTACCACTGTTAAAGTATATAATAATGTTGCAAGTGTTGGTACCATGCACGAAATAACATCCATCAACGAGATTAGGAAACGCAGCCCTCCTCCCCAAAATACCATTCCCTCTTATGCTTTAAACATCCACCAGAGATGTCAGAAAAGGTTGAGTATTTGGTTGAATAAAAGCAACAAAAGAAAAAAAGACTAAAAAATATCTCTTTATGAAGATATCGGGCTGTGGAGGTGCGGCCTTTTACTCAAATGAAGACGATGATTACTGATGGCTTATCGAACTTCCCCGAGTCTCTCCTTCCTGTCTAGACGTGTCATGTGGTCAGGTGATGTGTGAGGGACACTTAAGGGGTGTGAGGGACACTTGAGGGGTGTGAGGGACACTTAAGGGGTGTGAGGGACACTTAAGGGGTGTGACGGACACTTAGGGGGTGTGAGGGACAATTAGGAGGGAGTGAGGAACACTTAGGGGGTGTGAGGAATTCTTAGGGGGGAGTGAGGGACACTTTGGGTCAAGTCAGGTCCCTCCCCATATTACTTTAGCTTTCGTCTTTGTTCAAGACATTTTCAGAAAATGCTCTCGATGTTCTACCTATGATATTTGTTCCCAAAGCCGGATTTTTTTTAAATTCCGGCTTTGGGAATAGTTTTCTGAGCAAATTTCAATTCCTGCTATCAGAGAGTTTCGGGTTTGGGGATTCCGGCTGGCGGAGATATTGCTGTATTATTATTATTATTATTATTATTATTATTATTATTATTATTATTATTATTATTATTATTATTATTATTATTATTAGTAGTAGTAGTAGTAGTAGTAGTAGTAGTAGTGGTAGTAGTAGTATTATTATAATAGTTTTGCCCCCAGGCCCTGATGTGGGTCATTGTCCTGTGCCCTGGTGGGCTAATCCCGTAGAAAAAACAAAAACAAAAAACAACTTACGGGGGTGTAAGGGACACTTGGGGGGCGAAGGACTCTTAGGGGTGAGGGACACTTAGGAGGTGGGTGGGGGTAACATGAGGAGGTAGTGTGTGTGTGTGTGTGTATGGTTGGGTGTGAGGAGGGGTGTGAAGGACACGTCACCCATATTATCACTGGATTTGTCCTTGTGAGTAAGTTATTTTTGGATCACCTGAAGAGAGAGAGAGAGAGAGAGAG